TAACGTGTCTCAGCGTGACCAATGCGGCGTATCAAAACCGGTGCTTTGCAATAATATTTGTGGTGTCTTAGGAATCAGACGAATTGACATGACCTGGTGACCTGGGCTGACCTTGAATGACGTGGATCTGAAATTTTAACGCCATGTGCGAAATCATGAATCATAAGGTGTTTTTTTTTAAATAAATTTACGATAACTCGTGGTGGCGTAAAAACTCCCCACCCTAGAGGGTACCTACCTATCGGCAATAATGAGCAGTAATCGCCACGCAATTTGAGAATGTGGATCGCTCATGTACGAGTATGTAGGTTGTACAATACAATGCAATATCAAAAGGGCATTTTTATTACCTACTCATTTTTTCACATGATTTTTACGAGAGATACGTTAAATCGTTAGTATTAGTACCTACTGGCAACCCAGGTGGCGTGAGGGGTCCCTGCAAAGCTGGACTGACCTAAGATGAAAAACATCGCCACCTGTCAAAAATTGATAAGGAGAAAATGAATCTGCTTATTTATCACCGACACAAACAACCAAATTCATATGATAACAGTCAAATGTGTATAGACACGCAGTGACTCCTTCATCCACACCTATGCATGTCTAACTCTGCAGTTATTTATGCAACTCGTGCCAAATCAGTCTGGGCTGAAAGTGCACCCCTACCGCCCCTTGCTCACCGTTCCCGAGGCCCAAGAAGCAGCATCGCTCCAGCTCTTCAGGGTGCCCTCGTGGGGGCAGGCCGCTAGCGCCAGTGCCGCCAGCGCCGCCAGGCAGAGCGTCCGCAGCGGCGTCCACCAGGTCATGGTCGATCTCTTGAGCAGCGTGTCGGCTGTGCCCTGCTCCCAGTCCCGGCCCCATATATACCCGCCGGCGCTGGTACAGGGTCGACCCTGTAGGACGCCAGCTGTGAGGATGACGCTGTTCGGACGCCGGCCTAAGCCTGCGACACGCTTCCCGTACTGCCGAGTCGGCGGACACGGCGCCGACAGCGCTCTTGTCGGGTCAGCACGTGCCGTCGGCCATTGTTTCCCATCCGGACGATGACGGAAACAAGGTGCACAGCTGCGCCCTGCGACAACGCGCCGCGATACCGGCGCAAAACGACACCCTTTCCTTCTCTCAAAGATTGTGCGAGCATGTTCCCTGAGGCCTGTACCCTGTTCGGTAGCATGTGGGCAATGAGTGTCGGTACGGTACCGACACTCATTCAGGTACCCAATCATCCACCATTGAGAACGTTATTCGGGATGGGATCCTGATTTCCGTACAAGTATTTTTTTAATTTTGACAGCCAGGGGCTGCGGAGTCGAAGCCGACAGTTCTGACCGGAGTCAGATTTGGTGTCGGACTTGATTTTTGGCAGCCGGAGTCGGAGTCGGACTCACCGAAAATCCATAGATTCTGCAGCTTTGGTTACCTACAACAATAAGGTTTAAAGGAAATACATAGTTCACTTTTTACATGGGGTTTTGAACTGGAATAGCAGTTTGTAGCTTGAGCCGAGACTACCACAAATCAGGAGCTTTTACGGCCCAACGATCACCCTAGACGAAGATATTCCCTTTTTCGTTCCGAAAAGAGTGCCTTGCAGAGGAATGCGTGCCTTGCTGAGGAATGCTGCAGCCACGTCATCGCCAGCCAATCAGCATGCTGCTTACAGCCAATGGGTTTGTCCTACGCAATTATGATTGGTCAACGCGTAATGAGCTCCCGCGTCAAACAATATTTTATATAGATATAGTTCTTCATATATTAGAATATGGAAAATAATCTTTTTATAAAAAGGTTTGCTTTCTTTGCTGATCATTTTTAGCATAAAAAAATCAAATCCATTGCAAAAAGAAACTAATTTCGGGAAAGTGAACTATTCCCTTTCATGTATCACGCCCACGGCCCAGCCACCGAATTTATTTCAGGTATTTTATTGTACAAGCATGTGTTAGAGAAATGCGTCATTTCTGGTGTATAAATAAACTAAATAAGCATAAAAATGATAGAAGTGACAAAGTGAGCCTCTCTGACCTCTTTCCTCCTTTTCTCGTTAAAGTGCTACTGACATTGTCAAAATGTCTTACAAGCAGCTCCAAGATATTGTCAACCATTGCAATCGTGGAAAAGGATAATTACGTAGGGTGAATGAAAAGTTTTGAGCCTAACATAGTTACAGGAGACGCAGATTAATGAAACTTTGGTCACATATTTTGCCACTATTGATATGGATGGACACCAAATTGTGAAGTCCTAGCACTTTTTTCCTCACTTTTTTAGCGCCTTGAATCATGCTATTTTGGGTAAGTGCTCGCGGTGTCAATGACGTCATTATTTTTTGTGAAGCGTCATCCAGTCAGTTTTTTCTTTAGGCTTAGAAAGAAATAGACACCCTAAGGATGTCAATGCTGGTTAAGAGATTCAATTTGGGATACATTGGAAGGCTTAGTAATTGATTGTTTACATTGCAACCAGTGAAAAATACCCCGATTTATTGTCCTGGTGAAACACGACCAATTTTGTCAGCATTGCCCTTCTGATCTTCCTGATTTTCTAACATAAGTGCATCAGTGGGTCATCCTAGTAATGCGCAATTACAGTAAGACCCTTTGAAAAGAAGTGCACTTGCAAGACACCTCATTTATTTTCCCAGTTACGGAACAGTTTCCTCTTTGTTGTGACTCTGACATTTATTTTTTTTTCAGATTAGAGTAGAGACGTTCTTTCACTGACTCCACTGTTCTTCCCTTGCTGGATTGAAGTGAAACACCCACAGTTTATCATCGGTAGCGAAAAGTGACTTTAAATTCTCAGAATCTGCTTCAACAACTAGCGCCAGATGTCAGTACACATCTCTCGCCGTGCTCTGCAGCAAAAAGCCGAGAGGCCCAATGGGCAGAGACCTTTCTCAAGTCATGCCCATTGGTAAGAATGTCGCCAGCTTGCTCCTGGGAGATGTCCATTCTTACCGCCATCTGATGAGCTCACAGTCTTGGATCCAGCATCCACACCCCAAGAGCAGGGTCAATGTTTTCGGATTTTCTCACATTCTACGGCGTTTTTTATATTTGTTCATTTTGGACGCTGTTCCTGCCCTGCTTGAAATTAGCAGCTCAAACCTTAACAGTGTCGTATGATGGGCCACAACCAATAAGTTTAATTTCAGGTCCTTTTTAATTTCAGATGAAGGCATGGCTTTGAAATCGCAATACTTTATAAAAGCTCGGTTCTCGATTTTCTTCCTTTTCACCGAACGCGTAATCTTCTTCACTTTAACGGGCTCTAAAAACGAAACGGAAAGGACTAGGACTTCAAAACTTGGTGTACACACCTAAAAATAGTGGCAAAATGTGTGACCAAATTTTCATTAACCTGCGTCACCTGTAACTGTGTTAGGCTCAAAACTTTTCATTCACCCCACGTAATAACATAGCATAAAATATATTCCAAAAATCCAAACAGATGGGGATTGTGGACACCATTCGTCGCCTGATATGGGCGACGGATTATAGACTAGACACGAATTGACCGCATGCAATAGTGCAGGTGGTAGAACAAAAGACGTTTAAAAGATTTATCTACCTACGAGCGGTTTAATAATTTTATCCTGTACCGCCGATATCTTTTGGGAGCTTAAGTAAAAAAATACATTTCATATAAAATATGCGACATATTTCAGCAGAGCAAGAGACAAAGAGAAGCAGAGACAGATGAATGAAGCTTTGAAAAACGGTCCAAACAATGTGATCGGTCTGAAATTGACAGGTACATTGAAGATCAAGTCCCAAATACAACTAAAAAAGAAAAAGAAAATGATGTTCATTGCATTTCCCTGCGCATACGAAAATAACGAGACGGTAAAATGGCAGAAATATCTATTAGACGTTTAACAGTTTGTTAATCGTCACTAGACGATAACCAGCTCAAAGGGCCGACCGGGCGGATGCCAGACAGCAGGAACAATGGTAGGAGACAGAAGCGTTTTAAATAAAATAGAAAGGTTTATCATAACTACTCAACTCGGAAACTCGCCCACTGATAAACTCTTACCCTTCGCCGATGACTGGATGTGTCAAAATTCTCTTCGTCGGTGAACAAGACATTTTTCCAGAATTCGTCGGCATGTTGACCGAGGTTTGCTTGGGCAAACGTCAGGCGAGCCTGAACATTTATTGGTGCTGGAAAGTTTCGTTCTCCGTTCACTCATTCCCGGAGACCGACTTCCTTAGATGACTGAATACGGTAAATGAAATACCATAATACATGCGACACTGGAATATGATGGCTTCTGTCAGAACTCAGATACTCTGCTGTATGCTCGTTATCAATGCTATACCTACTTGGCGAATTAGTGGCTCCATCAGAGGACTGCGGTTCGTCGATCTCTGTTCATCAGATGGACGATGTCTGTCTTCAGCTTCACTCAGTTACTTTGTGAAAAGGAAGCGTGCTCAATTAAACTTAAGTACTCGGTCCGCTCAGCCTATACTGACAGCATGCATGGAGAAAATTGTGCAGATTTGTTAGCTGTGTGACCTGCATGGTATGTGCGCTGGGCAGTTCCACATCATTTATAAGAATGGTTATTAAAATGGAAATGAGTAATTGATGGCCTGTGGCGGCTTGCATGTTATTTACATAAATGCAGTTATTAATCGGAGCTCAAGGAAAATACCTGCCACATGTCATCGTTAATCGTGGTTGTGAATTCGTTCCAGCGACTTGACTTCGGCGAACGTTACGAGCTCATATACATTGCATGTTTACACGCAGGTCACAATCGCTCGCATACACACAGGGGGATGACCGGGACTCACGCAAGTGCACCCGCGTCACCGGTCCCCAAAGTGGCGGGGGCAGTAATGGCAGCGTGGTGTAATGCGATCACCCCGGGCAACGGATCCAGCGGTCGGTGACTTCGGCGGGTCGGGTGAACTCGCTGACGAGCGCGCTGGTGGACGGAGTTGCTGCCGGACCCGCCGCCGCCGCGGGCGACGGGCCGGGTGGTCGGACGGGGGCGATCATGACGTTCGTCATATCATTTTCGCAAGGCTTCCGGTTCGCGGTACTTCTCATCTGTGTGGTAGCTTTTCTGGTGCTGGTAAGTTCATTGCACTTATACGACCACGGATCTTAGTCATGCGATACCATGGTCGTGAAATCCTACGGAACAGTTCCTGTCATTAGTTCAAATGCTGCTCATATTTTTGCGATTGCTTCAGTTTCTAGACAAGGGTTGTAATTTGAGAAGGAATAGAGAAAATAAAGGGAGAAAGTCCCATCCCTCGCCCCCTGAACCAGTCTTATGTATAGGGTAAAGCGAAGTCTTTAATCGTCCTAACTCCTTACCCTTTCCCTGTTCCCATCCTAGCATGGCGTCGCGCTCTCCGGTGCGAACAATGCCGGAAACGAATTCGGATCCTTTCACCGTTTCATCATGATCTATGTTAAGTTGTTTGACATTTCCATGCATACGGCACATGTTTTATTACGGTGGCGATAATCACGCCACTGTTCACAGAGCAGTGTGAGCCTGACCAAGTTCATACGCGCCGATGTGGTTCGCTCCTTCGAAGTGGACGAGAGCGCCCAACAGACGTTCGCTCTCATACTGTGCAAAATACAGGAAAACATTTTCAAACCCGATGTCTACAAGGCGATCACTGGAAAGTAAGTTACCAGAGCTAGTTATGATGTGTAGATAGAACGGTAGTATGGATGTGCTCAGCGCTACAAATGCACAGAAACGAAGTTTTAAGCTAGGACATCCCAAAGCCTGAACGAGACGATCTTTCCTCGACGTAAGGAAAGGTATTTGGCTTGGCTGCTTGGTTGCATCTTTTACTTTATTATTTCACTGCATCACACTCTATTTGTGTAACAATTGTAACTTCGGCATATTATTTGCGAGTGTCGGTGCGCTCTGACGTGCTATTTGGCTCATTTGTATGGTCCTGGTTGGAATGCCATTGTAGTTATCTATACTTGAAGCTTTAAATCGCTTTTGTGAAAAAATAGCTGAACGTCTTCTCTAAATACAGGGAATATCGGGAGGATAACGACCCGATGCTTCCATTCGCCGACAACTTCCCATTTGGAGAAATCGACGTCGATGCTGCTCTTTGGAACCTGACTTATAGCTTCGATGACATCTTCGACATTTGTGCAAGCTTCTACAACAAACCATGTGGTAAGTGGAAGCAAAGGCCGAAAAGTGATATGCACACATTACCTAATCATGCTATTTATGACACCAAACGACATTAAATGTGTATTACGGGACCGTTGTTCAAACGTCCTTATCAGCAGAACCTCAATAATCAATTTATATGATGAAAATCGGCACGAGTTAAGAAGCGCAGTTAAACGTCCGAATTTGCTATTGCTGGCCTGGAAAAATTACGGCCAACATGAGTCATTAATATTGAGTGTTGCTTACCCCGGGAACAAACCCGACCAATCTGCTTGAGGCATGGGTTAGTAGGACGTCACTTGTTACGGCTGGTACTATTCCGCCGCAGATCAGCGGGACATATCCAGCCACCTCTACCACTACGGCGGGCAGTGTCACACTCTTCGGTATGACAACTCTCTGGCCGAGGGCCGGCAGCGGGGCCTCATGCTGCAGCTCAAGCCTCAGCACTGCGAAAACTGCTCCGATCTGCACTGGGTCATGTACGTCTTCTCGGCAAAGGAAGAGTATCTCGGTCAGTAGCCCCAGCCAACAGTTATTTCCAATTCAGTCCTATCCCGGCATGCATGGTCGAATATTGTTATCAGCCCTTTGATCCTCGGTCTGTAGTCTGACAGATGTTACGAAATTTTCTGAACTTTTAGAATATAACATTTACGCATTGTTTGTTACCAAAAATAAACGACATGTCTTTGTCTGCGTGAGCTGTCTTGCAGACTCCATGCTGAATATTATCATTACTGCATTAATGATAAAAGCTGAAAGTTAAATAAATTCACAGTGTGTTAATGTACAGCACATAGCATAAACACAGCATAGTGTATATTGTATACTGTAAACCCTTAACATTGGTCCGTGACGCTCGCTGTTTTTCGCCGCCGCAGACTGGGAGCACGTGTGGGCGCCAACTCGAATCTACCTGCAGAAGGACACTGCGCAGACGTTCAAAGTGACCAGGACACTGGAAAAGAGGCTGTCCACTCCAGAGAAGCCCTGCAACGGCGATCAGGGGTACACCCAGGCAAAGGTAGGTATAACACACGTTTAGCGAATGACTGCCTTCGCAAATTGACACAGCATTATTGAATGCAACTTGCAAGGAAACGGCGTTGTGGGGACTGAAAATCTCGTCATCGATGTAATACGAGTATCTGTCCTTCCACAGTGTATTCGGGAGTGTCTATCGTCGGAGATGGCCCAGCTGGGGGCCGACTGTCGGCTCCCCTGGCACGACTCATCACAGCCCTTCTGCAACAACCGCTCAGACTACGAGGAGCTGCTGCGCTACTCGCGTATGGTTTCACGAGCCTATGTTGTTTGGGAATACGACTACCAAGAGTTGCGCGAAAACCATTACTATCAGACAGTAAACAGGTAAGGTTAATCACTGCAGTCTGCAACGTCTGCAAGCGGCTAAATTGCATCTTCTTCCCAATAGTTCTCTATACCAGATTTGGTGTTAACTGATAACATGGTCTAGAACACTTTTCCTTTACCATTTTATAAAAGGTAATGTAATTTTCCTATCTGCATTTCAGTTTCAAGAAGGTATGCAAAAGTCGGTGCATGCGGGAATGCGATCGAGACCACGTGACGGTCACCCTGGTGGACCGGGCTCGCAGCGACCGAACCTTTATCACCCTGAGCATCAATGACGGACTGTATGTGTCGTCTCAGCGCAGAGCTTACGACCTTCAGCAGGTGAGATATGAATTACATTGGTAGCATATTGCTGTCATTCAGTGAAACAATACCAAGAGCAAATGGCTGCGTTTAGTTGGCTAAGGTTCCAGAAATTTGCTTCCATGAATACGTGTTGCAAACGCTCCAGGCATGACCTGAAGTCCATGTCGGAAGACTGAACACTATGACTATTTCAGATGATGTCGGATATCGGAGGCAACCTGGGACTGCTGCTGGGAGCATCAATTTTCACCCTGTTTGAGATGGTCGAGAACGCCGCACGCCACCTATGGGAGCGTCGCAAACGTCGGAAGGCCAAAGTCAGCCAGGTTACCACTTCAGCAATTCGCACAGATGCTTTTGGGACGGATGTCAAGCTGAGGAAAAATCATGCAAGTGGCTTTTCGGATAAGGAGATGACTCTTTCGGACGTATCTTAGCTGCCAAACTTCAGCTTGTGGCTTAATGGCTTAAAGCAAAGCAACATTGTTATCATGATTGTCGTCGCGATGTCTTTTGGTTTAAATTGCATGCGTACGAGATGTTGATGAGTTTGGAACAATTGATCAGCAAGTTAAGATAAGTAAGATGTGGCAGAATGGAATGATTAGCGACGCCTCGCTGATCAATGCCTGCTACCATTTCATGCTATCAATGAAACCAGACATCTGCCAATACTCTGGCGTCTTGATTGTCTAATAGATTGATTGATTTGTTACTGGATGGCTGGATTCGAACGGTTGCATCTATTTTGTCGAAGAAGCCTGCACGTGTTCCTCAGTTAAAATACACGGGAAATGAGACAATTCTTGTTGTAATGTTGCCAGCACGTTAATGTCAAAATTCCGTGATTTGTCGAAATATCGTAACATAACATCGTTGTTATTTGACATCTAAGCAGGTTTATTTTGTTCTTTTCAGCAGATCACATATTTCATTATCACCTGATCACATGGTCACCCTGTAGCGGCCAGAGGCTACCTTGGCGTTCGCCAGGTATGTTTCGCTTCATTGTGATAAAAAGTCAGAAGCAGGCATCGGGTCAAAGACAATCAGCTTAACTGGGAAAACATGCACCTATTAATATTTTGATTTTGATCTGCCGTTGCTGGCCCGGCTGCCCTATCCTGGGCACATTATCGTAAGAAGCGACCGGAACACTCCTGACGGCAGCGCGTACGGGAGCGGAGCTCAGCGCGCTCCGCCAAACTGCTCCATGTAGTGAATAACACGACTGTAGACTAGACGGTTGGCGTCGATGCCCCACATGAAGTCGAGGTGCTGCCAGAGGCGCCAGTTGACGGGCTCACTGCGAACCAGGTTCGGCAGCCGTGCCGCCAACAGCGCCGCGTCCTGTCGATAGAACAGGTGGCGTCGTTAGCAGCCGTCCAGACGTCGGCGGCGGGGCTAGCGAGATGAAAAGAAATAAATGAAGCTGGGAATGTTAAAAAAGAACGTTAATTATTATTTTCTAAAGGAAATTGAACCCACGTATAAAAGTTCGTCCATTATGTGATGCCATTCGTCTCCCATCTGCCTTACCGGCTGTTTTCAACGGCGCTTTCAGGCGAAACTTTGGCGTCAGGTAGCGCCAAGCAATTGCTGTATAATGCTCTTGAAGAACGGTCGAGCGAATAGTGCCATAGCAACCAGCTGATATAAACAATATAAACGATGGTTAAACTTACCCGTTTGTCGGCCATTTTGTCGTTGGGACCCCAGATCAGCACCACGGGCGCAGTCACTTTCTCCGGAAAGTATTCTGGAGGACGTCGCTGACCGTATCGTACCAGATTCTGCTTTTTGCCGTAATCATAGCGCTGGAAACGACCTTTAACAGCAGAGCACACATGCATACAATTCGCCCAATAGCTTACATCCTTACAATATGGTGGCATGTGTTTATAGACGTTGCTACATAGATAGGTATGGATTTTGATACTATGCATGTACGTATTTCTCGCCTGCGCCCCAACGATATTTAGATCGTTCGTCTACATTTATAGGTGTCGAATTGTCGATGAGGTTCGCTGAAATTGACCGATATGAAACAGATGAACAGACACACTGAGGCCCATGTAGCGTAAGTATGGCTGACGGTTAAATACCTGATGCGATGTACTGTGAAACCTGCTCCATAACCAGGCTTCCCGTTCCAGCGGGAACATGAGAGAATATCACCGGCAGGCTGGCCTGCGAAAAGGTGTGTCGCGTAAGGGAGCGGTGCCTCGACATAAGCACCGAGTGCTTTTGCACCGCCCTGCATAGCTTGTTTGATGTTGTTTTGTTAGCAATACATGATGATGATGATGATGATGATGATGATGATGATGATGCATCACCTTTGCTAACTGATGAAAAGTCATGATTTTTATGTCTCGCCCATTCTAGTCAATTTTTTAACGAAATAGCTCAGTAACTGCAACCTTGCATCGACCATGACTTACCTCCCCTAAAAAAAAAAACAAAAAAAAACAAGCGGTTGGAGCCGCTGGTGTATGAGAGACTGTCATTGTCAGCTAGTTTGGGTACCTACAGTCTATAGTGCATAGTGCTGCATAATTTTCTTCAGTTTCTGGCTTACGTCTATTCGTTTTTAATCGATTAGCATTAAAAGAAATACATATGTATCGTTTTGCGATCATCTTCTAGTAAACGACCGTACCGCTCATCTCATTAAACTATTCATCGAGTTTTCCCTTGCTGTAAAAGGTAAGCGGGACCCGCCAGCAGTAGTCTATCAAATAACACCTTGGGTCGTTCCTAAGACACCTTCCTCTTGAAATAATGCGACATCTGAATTTATAACTATCCATTCGATATCGTATCACCGACCTTGTCGAGTTGTTTCGGGTCCCAGCCAGCCAGCATGAACATCCCGAGCGCACACAGCGGCACCGTAGGCGAGTGCTTGCTGCAGAATATCTTGCCCAGCACGCCGTACAGCGGCTTGTGACGAAACGATTCGTTATGGCTGAATATAGCCGACATTTTCTGCAATCAACATACACTAAGTCAATTTACTAGCTTATCTTCCAAGCAGGCTTTCGCAGCATAAAAAGGCCAAGAAAAATGAACGGATGATAAAAGAACGTTAGGTATCATGAGAAGACATGAACGAGGACAGACATCGAGGAGGGGCGTTAAAAAAAAAACGATTCAATTTTTACCAGGTCATTGAAGCTAAATATGACAATCTGTCGTAATCTCTGTCGTAATCTTAGTAAACAATACCAAGCTGCCAACTCCTTACCTGGATAGCTTTCCTGAATGGAACAAAAATCCTGACTATGCTTCTGAAGTACTTCATTGTGGCCACCGGCCCCAGAGCCACCATAAAACGAACCTTGTCGTTGTAAGCCGGATAATAATTCATCATCGCCCAAAAGGAGATGGTGCCTGTAAAAATGTTTTGAGGTTATTAAAAAGCTGTCATTAATTAATCAGGCATCGTTGTTTTCCTTTTGACGACATGCGAAAAATCCTCTTCGCTAGAACGTTTGCAGAATGACGTTCCGTTGGCATTTGGTTTCTCTAAAATGCATCATGTTTTATTTCACACGTCATCTAGCGAGCATCTAAGTGTTGTTTTCAAGTTATTATTATGCATAAAGAGGCTGCTTCAGCCTGCATTGGTCGTTTCATGCATAAACGATACACTAAATGCCTCACTTTTAAGCACTTACTTGATGAAAATCCGATATAATAAAGATCGTCGTAGCCTGTTGTCTCCAGAATGTAGTCTATCATGGCAGGGTTGTCGTACTTCGAAAAGGAATCCAGTCTGAAACGACAGTGAATGGTAGATGCATAAGCTGAGGGTAGTCTTTAGTCTGGAATAAAAGATATGTATGCCTGTAAACAAATTCCTCAAACATTTTTTTTCTCAAATAAATGAACATATCATTTATCATAGAAAGTCATTCAGCGCCGTGTTTATCTCACGTGAACTCCCAAAAGCGACGTTTATTGGGATTAAGAGTGACGTGTGCCCGTCCGTAGGTATTTCCTCTATTATTTCCGAGCCACACATCGTAGCCTTCGTCTGCCAACACGAACCCTGTAAATGGGGATGGGATATAGAGCGAGAAAGAAATAAATTGACACTTTCTGATCATCTGCAATGTACACCAGCACATGGGCTGTTCCTTGCGTTGTCTTATAATATTCCCAGAGCGATGGTCGGGTGAGCGGCAGAATGTGTCCCTCCCAGAGGGGCGCCTGTTTTTGACAGCGCTTGACAGATCGAACTATCTCATGACCTCCGAGTTTTTCAGTGCTACTTACTTTAGTCAATAGTCATGCCCACTTAACGTTACTTTATGCCTAACAGGGTAGCTGATTATCATTAGCCACCAGGGACGTAGCCAAGGGGGGGGGGGGCACGGAGGCCATGCCCTCCCCCCTGAAGGCGAAAAATAAAATAAATTGAAATAAAAATGAAAATAAATTAAACAGATGCACCGCACCCCCCCCAAAAAAAAGTGGGCCAAATCCGGGGAGTTTTCCTTTTTGGAGGGGGTACCACACTAGGCCGCGACTTGTGGCCCCTCCCTGAGCAAAATCCTGGCTACGTACCTGTTAGCCACTTACAATGTTTATTGAGATATATGTAGATGACAGATCACCCTTTCTAAAGTGCATCTTCAAGAGACATCTCCTCCTCTGCATTCAATAAACGGCACGGCATCGATAACCACTAACCGAGTGACTTTCTCGGGTTGATGACCCAGCCGGCGGAGCTGTCCTGTACCCCGTGCAGCACGAGGACAGGTCGGCCCGGCGGGGAGGTGGCCTGCGAACCGCCGCGACCGCCTGGGATCCGGTGCATCTCCAGGATGTATCCGTCGGCTGTCTGCACGTGATGCACCTCCACCGGGTACCCGTGAGCGGCGATTATCTCCGGCTGGTCACGGACAGACGATGAGGTTAGACACATATTATACCTAACACCAACCTGAGCAGGCTGAATCAGCTGACTGGCTATTGTATTATAGCGGAGTTTCGATAAGCCGATTTACCAGTACCTATCTTTGTATGAATCGAAAAATGTATTGGAATGGAAAAATTGCGTTTCAAGCCATAAAAACGTAAAAAAAAAACGAATGGCGAAGCCTGCAACGGCATTCAAACGTTGATGCATCACGTAATATGGCCATGGGACATGCATTTCACCAAATGAATTAGAGATACCCGATATACATACTTACCACTGTTTGGTAGAGCTTGTTACGTTTCGCTTGAGGCGCACGGCGACAGTCGGCACAGGCCATCAGCATGGCGAGCAGATACAACGACAACGTCCATCGGGCGACGGGCAGGCTCAGGTTCATCACGGGGCTTCAGCTGTGAAACAGACGGACGAATCAGTCCAGTAATGGGAACAGCCAAGATATGCGGAACACAGTGGGTGTGAAAGCCATATTACAGTGTTACCCGATCATTATACTGTAATGGTAAGTAGATAGGTACTTTAGTCGTGACTGATGTCGTGTGGACTGTTCCTGTGGAGGCGTATATGTTGTAAGTGGCATTATTTAAAAGAAACCGAATAATAAATCGTTCTCACGCCTCTCACTAAATGATCCTGTCATACGGACTCAATGTCTCAATTCCGACAAAGACAACTCCGTTAGGCAGGAAATAGTTAAGAATGAGTAAATCGATGCAGAAGCAATATAGAGGCTCATCTGGGGGCGATGAATTCCGGTAAAGAATCTCGGACGAGGTCGGGTGACAGACGGCGCCGGCGTCCCGGTCCGGCCCGCTGGGGTAGCGACGCACGTGCTCACTAACAGAGCGTGACGTATCGACGGCTCAGTGGAGACGGGAGACCGCAGGTGAAATCCGTCCCGGTCACAGTGACCAGAGTCCGCCGAGGACTGTGTCAACCCGGAGACCTACAAACGACACCGGCCGCCACGGCAACGGCTGCGGAACGCTTTCATCCCGAACGGCCGGCCGCCGGGCACGACCCGTCCTACAAAGGACCGGTTGCAGAGCTCATCGTCCACCGAAAATTACCATCACGGTGGCATTGTGATAATTGCTTCGCTTGCAGCTTCATAACGCTGTAGATTAATTGCAAAAAATAGAATCATGCTTTGTAATTGCGCGAGTATTAGCCATATGGGTTCAAAATGAAATGTTTTTAAATATAACTCACTGACAGTACCTACAATCATTCATACATGGATGTAGCAAGGAGATTTCACAGCAACCAGACAGTTACTTCTGATATTTTTGTTATACCATGTGTTTACAAATTACAACGATAGATTCACATACTCCGATGTTCTGTCATGCTCTCTGTCTGGCTGCCGCTGCTGCCCGACGGACCGTCCCTCCAAACAGCAGACATCTCGCCGCAGGACACTGACACTGACAATTATATTCGGCGGGTTGCAGGGACAGGACGGGTCACTGCACCGGCGTGACCGACCAGGGGAAAGCTGGCTGGCTGATTACCTAGTCATCCACGCAGCTAGAATTTGAAGCCCTATAGTCGTCTGCAAAACAGGGCATTCGCATAACGTCACCGTTAGCACCTCTCATCTGCATCTGCAGTGAAGGGAGAAGAGCTTATCCGAAGGGAGAGGAGCCGTATAGCGGCTAATAAGTTCGCGTTTAATTATTCCCAATACCAATACTGCTCGAAAGCATAAAAGCAATATGCAGCTCTTCCTATAAGCTCATTAAAAAAAAATCAGCGCCAGAACCCTGTCCCCAGCAGCCAGACCCATTTTGGGAATAAATAGATATCACATGTGCATCTGTATATTGAGCATCCCGCGCGCATCACGCATGCTTGTGATCTGTGACCAGTGCAATGTGCCATGCAGGATCGTATTTTGCAGTAGGTATAGTTAACTCACCTATTTGTTGGGGCTGTTTGTGTACCTGGCTTAAAGAGAAGCATGCACAATTATAAGTGGTTATCTGATGTAACGCTCAAACGATCCTCACCTGCCACCACGATTGCTTAGTCACGAATTGGTGACGCCACAGCTCAGTCCGAGTCCTCACCGGATTCGCGTTAAGAGGAACCTACCCTGGTTCCGGTTAACGTCACGCCACGTCACTATCCGGATAGACTAACTCCGGGAAACGTTACGTCACTGTCCGTGCACTGTGGAACCGGGAAACGTTACGCTTCCTCCCGTTCACACGGTTCGCTAGTGTTAGAACCGTCCGTGAGCCGTCTAAATCACCATCATTTTTTTTTTTGCGGTGAGCAGTACAGCCCGTCAACAGCCCAATCCCTCCGCTGTTTATTTTTCGCACATTGGTCTGTCCGTACACTGGTTACCTTGTCGGGATCTACTTGCCGTCTGAGTTACGGTCTATCCGTACACTGAATCGTCCGTAAGTAGGTATGTAAGTACATACACTTCACTGCCGTTCGTCCGTCAGTTCGTCTGTTCGTACACTGCACCGTCCGTCCGTCCGTCTGTCTGTTCTGTCCGTCCGTCCGTCCGTGCGTCCGTCTGCCCGTCCCATTCACCGTCTACCGGCTGAGTTACCGTTCGTCCGTACACTGTACGGACCGTCCGTAAGTCTGTCTGTCCGTTTGTCTGAGCACCGTCCACCGTCTCGGCCGCGACCCAGCCGTCAACTGAGCCAAAGGCCGGCCGTCAACAGAGCCAAAGGCCGGCCGGCCGCTGCCATCTCCAGCCGTTCAAGCGGCGAAAGTGGCACGCAGCAGTCCACCGTCCCCGAAAGTAGCCTTGCATCTCCAGAGTCCACTGATGACCGAACGCATAACAAAAAACCACCCCACCGTGCAGAGCATATAATCCCCCAGCAACCGGGACTTATCATCATAAACAAGCCACCGGTTTTGGACTACCAGCGTTCCCAATCCAATGCCTCCGGTTCGGTCACTAGCATTTATCATAATAGGGCGACTGAGTAGTGAGTATCGTTCATATGTCATACGTGTAGGATTGGTGAGAACCGTGCCTGATAAAATTTCGGTTTTGAAATCGGTATCATTAACCGATAGTCACCCCTATCGTCCTGCGTATAAGAATGGATGACTGGTTTCCCTAAGTAGCAATAGCGCTATCAACAAATTTTCAAATGATATTTGGTTGTTGAGTTAAGCTCTTCACTGTCTAGTGAGATTCAGCAATCAGGGCTATAGGATGAAGGGATAGGAACAAAACATTGGGCTGAGTGGACCACCAACTGGCTCACCGCAACGGTCGACGAGCCCTGGCCCCTGCCGTCGGGACGGTGTATGGTATCCCGGTGAGACAGGCCGCCCGGCCGTTCAAACGCTCACCCCCGGATGGTTGTGCCCTTTTTTGTCAATTGTTATTTGTCGGTGTAATATGAGGAATGGCTGTCAGTCCAGAAATAGTGTAAGCAAAACACGAAGGTGGATTTTGGAATTTTGGATCCAGACGATCCAGACTGATCATGATGACTGAAAAATAAAACGAATGAAAAATAGCGACCGCGTGACGAAATTAGGCATGTGTCTCGTTTTTATTTACGTCGATTGGTCATTATGGGGGCTACTACAAGTCAGAGTGTTTGTAAATTATTGGCTTATTTCCAACTCTAAGGGCGCAAGTGCTGAATCTTGCTTTAGTGCCAACTGCTGCCAGTGTCGCCATATAAGTTGTTTGTCACGGAACACATCGGTCATCACGGTACGGGTCAAAGACCTTTCATCTACTTAGAGTTGAGCACACCGTAAGAGCACGAAAATTGGCTCAGTGTGTCCGAGCTATCTCCCAGCGATTGTTTTCATCAAGGAAGAAGTCCGAAGAGGCAGCTTATTCATATGAAAAGCTACAAAAATCGCTGCCAATTGGTCCGAAAAAAATGCGGGTCTACAGGACAGGCTCGCTGCTTTTTTATGATCTCACGCCATGAAATGATATCAAATCACGGCCCACGGATGGAACAGCAGATGAGTAGCAATAGGCAGCCCGAGCTCTGTAATGTCATGTAGGGCGCCGGGCGGTGGTGTGCCACTAAATGGCGCAATGCTGGACCGGGTGGCGCTAAATGATAACGCACGAGATCAGCCCGAACCAGCGTGATTCGAAGCGTGTTAGGGCACTCCCGCAGCTGACCACAAAGAGTCGTGACTTCATCTTCTCACGTGCATCACGAACGCCCGTTAATGCGTATGGCAGGTGTGAGGTGTCATGCGTTATCATTATGCCGGTAGAGGTGACACAACCTCTCCCCTCGCCCCCCTCCCTTCCCCCATTCACACTCACATACACTTGTTGTCGGTTCGACCATGTCGATCGGGAGGTTCAACAAAAGGGCGCTATTGGACGGGAGGCGAGGCGAGCGCGACCTCCAACATAGAAATAAAGCGTTATTGCGTATAGGAGCACTAAGCAGCTAATACGTAAGAATTTTCACGTCGCTCATTGTGATTTGTAAATAACCGTTTATAGGTCGAAGAACAGCAGGTAGTTGGCCGACCTCTAATATCTTTTATCGCAGGCACCTGGGAATGAAAAAGGGGGAAAGCCGAGGTGTCGTTATCCCATTTGCAGGTACCTAATATTATGTTTTGTGTTTACCTATGTGGCGTTGAGACCTGGGAGGTATGGACCGGTTTTGTGAAATGGTAATTTTCTTCCAGTGGGCAGTGGCTAGATCTGGTTCTTTGTTCTGTGTACGTGCTATCGCCTTTCGCCTGTAAAGTGTGCCTGATATTAGGCATCTGGGATCAACTATTTTGTCTCGAGATAGATTTTAATAAATAATGCGCTTTTTCGATCCATCAAGATACACCGGGAGGTATGGGTAGGTGTCATGTTTTATATTATTTTCTCGACATTGAGAACAATGCTCGTAGCTGGGATCTACCTTGTATTGTATTGTATTACCATCATGGACAATCCACATGGGGCGTGGCGATTACAGTCCAGAGTCTGAGTCGGGTGCAAACAAAAACATGCGGGGACAAGAAACACAGGCATACAGATTCAATCGCTGGACACTCGCTCTCTTGCTCTCGCTCTCTCTCTCTCTCTCTCTCTCTCTCTCTCTCTCTCTCTCTCTCTCTCTCTCTCTCTCTCTCTCTCTCTCTCTCTCTCTCTCTCTCTCTCTCTCTCTCTCTCTCTCTCTCTCTCTCTCTCTCTCTCTCTCTCTCTTCTCTCTCTCTCTCTCTCTCTCTCCCTCTCTCCCTCCCTCTCTCTCTCTCCCTCTCTCTCTCTCTCTCTCTCTCTCTCTCTCTCGCTCTCTCTCTCTCTCCCTCTCACCTCCTTCCCCTGACACGGGTCATCGTCGGGGTCGGCTCTCTTAGAGCCCATGTAAGTACCTACCGCATAAGTGGCCAACAGCTTAATTCATGGAGGCCACTTAGGCACATTTATCATTTATGAGGCGTATTTATTATGGTTAACTCAATCATGTTCCATGAAATAAGACAAACCGTATTTTATGTTCAAATGCAATCTGTAGTTAAATTTTTGACCATGCGCGACGAAAACAAAACTTCTTGAAGAGGACATTCAAAGAAAGCATCATTACGAGCGAGCGAGCGCAGCGAGCGAAGTGAGTCTTTTCAATATAACGGAAAAATCTCAGTATGAGCGGCCCGGCCCGGCCCGGCCCGGCCCGGCCCGGCCTGTAACGCTTTTGAGAGGCTTATATCTCAGCAACCGCTGGCCCGATTGGCCTGCGGTCTTCTTTGTTGGGTAGCCCCATCCCTTCTACCCCGTAATTGACTACTTTTGATACATCTCAGTGACCGTCGTGGCACGTGCCACGTGAAAAGTCAAGGGTGTTCAAGCTGTTTTGCAAAAGTAGTGATTTTGAGAGGCTCATATCTCAGCAGCCGCTTGGTCGATTGACTTGCGGTAATTTTTGTAGGGTAGCAGCATCCCTTCTACCCAAAATAGGATACTCTCGATGCATGTGGGTCACCCCCAGTGCACGTGCAAAATACAACAATAAGAGGTGCCAAATTTGTTCCCATTTCAGTAACTCGGTAATTACTGGGGCGATTTCGCTGAAACTTGGCATACAGGTAGGCACCCACCAGGCAATGCATTCCCATGTGTTGCGGTTAGGGTGCTACTGCACGTGCGCACGTGCAGGGGGTGTTTCCAGATCTCGAGAACGGCTGGGCCGATTGCGCTCAAATTTGGTACACGGTTGGGGACCGGTTAGTAGGGTGCCGTGCAAAAGTCATTTTGGACCCCGTTTGCACGTGCGCACGTGCAGAATGCCGCTTCCAGATCTCAGGAACGGCTGGGCCGATTGCGTTCAAATTTGGCACACCGCTAGCGACCGGTTAGAAGGGTGCTTTGCACAAGCCCGTTGGAAGTACCCTCTCGCCCTTCTGCACGTGCAGGGCTCACTATCTCGCTCGCTCGTTCTTCGCCCAAAAGGCGTTTTACTGGTTTTATTGATTTAGGATCACCGGAGATGGGTGGCCCGAACCTCCCGGTTAGGAAGCCAGAATGCGCATAGCATCTCAGCTCATAATCTTGCAAGAAAGCTTCAAATTGTTTATCCAGTCTTAATTTGCATGCTTAAAACTTTATGTTAGCAATGGTCTGACATAATAAAACGATCATAATAAATCGACATAACCGATAAGACATCGACAATCGACATAAAGATCATAATAAAACGACATAATAAAACTGGTTCACATTGATAACGAATTATACCGTATTTTACTCGAAGAGGGCAAAACGCTTTATCACCGCTCATTGCCAAAGAAGGCTGTGGAAGATTTTTAGAATCACGTGGGTTGTATAAAAATGGCTTGCTACCAATATAGGTACGTGGTCAAATGTGTAAAAATACGCAACACTTCTTCAAAACTGCGATGGCCATGTTGGCCCATACCTCCCAGATGCTCATACCTCCCGGGTCTCCCCTACCAAGCATTATCACGAATTCGAAACAATTTTCATGAAATATGTATGTACATATTCACTTTCCATTTTCTTAACCTTTTGGCCACCACTTGGCTTTCATGAAATGCAGTGGCGACATAAATAAGATGAAAATTATGTGTTCGATGTTTTTACTCCCGATAAAGTTCCAAACACTGGAGTGCAGGCACGTACAGGTCTCGCGGGTTTTAACAGTAGGTTTTGCACCTAGAAAATTTAGTGTACCTACTTCAGGCAATATCCTCGTCGTCTTAAGCTTAAGTGTTGAAGATGCGATCGACTTCTTGGTTCACAAGCCGGCCATGATCGTGTAAAATGGCTTCATCGTACATCAATTAGTTTCTGAGTTATAACCAGAGATGTAAAAGTGCAAAAACTACCGCTTAATCCCGCGAGAGCCGTACCTAGGATTTGGCCAGGGGGGGGGGGGGGGTGGCGGAGGAATCCCGGGGCCTCTTTTCTACAGAGGGCCTCCTACCTACGGAGGGCCTCCTCTCTACTGAGGAGTCAGAGGGGCCCTAGCGATCATGACACAGACACTATGGCGATTATTCACAGGAGGCGGTACTCGGTAGTCGGTAGTAAGAAGGACCCTAGCTGTCAGGCTGGTTATAGGGCCCTTATTGTCCTGACGCGATTTTTGGAATTCAGGTGAAATTCGTTCGCCTCCCATGTGACTTTGGCCAACGTGGGTCTTCGGCCCACGGGGGCCCTGATTCTATCCGGGGGCCCTGAACCCTTGGCCGGGTACGTCCCTGGGGTACGTCCCTTGGGTACGTCCGCGTCCCTGCACTGAGCAACGTGAAATGAGTGAGTAGCGTAGTGAATACTGGCAGCTCTAATAAGACCTTTCTTTGTGAATAGTGATGAAATATTTTTTAAGTAACCTGGCATATCAAGAGTGCCTATTTTCATTTTCAATAAATAAAAAGACACACTTTTATTGTTCTAATTTTTCGAAACATATTAATAAATAGGTATAATTTTACCTGTAACGGTATTTGCTCACTACTATTGAAGCTGGGCTGGGATCGCTCTAGGAAATTTGCGTGATTATAAGAATTTGTGAGGTGAATGTGTGAGATTTGTATTAATTTTTGTTGCTTAGCTTTATAGAAACCTTTTTGAATGAATTTTGCCTGCACTGATTGCTGATATTGAGTACAGAAGAGGAATTTCTTCCTGCGCCAGGATTGTCTCCTGAATGGGTAAGATTCATTTTTTATCTTTATATGATTTATTAAAGCTTTTAACACACTGATTTGTCTGTATTCACCAATTTCACCTTTTCAAAGTAATCACCACCTTTTGAAGAAAATTTAGCACTATCCAGCTTTTTATGGCAAATGTATCTAACTTATGAAAAGGGACTGAACCGCCGAAGCATAGGAACTGGCGGATTGAGGGGGTAGTTTGGGTGCTTGACCCTCCTGCAGCATCCAAAATTAACATTTTCTTTTTGATTTTCTTTCATATGAAAGCTAAGAGTGCATGCACCTGTTTTAAAATGCCCAGCAAGCCACAAAAAAGTAAAACTCTAGCTTTAGGATAGTGTCGGAACTTTTTATAAAGTAGAGTAGGTACCTAGTAATGCCTACTCCACAGCATCTCAAACCCCCTTCTGAATCTGCTGGTGACACTGCATTGCTGTGAATTCAATGCATGTGGTTGAGGGGGTAAAAATGGTTAAAAGACCTCAGCTTATGTTGTAGTCTTATGCTGCATATTGATATAATAGGAATGCAAGTGTTTTCTTGGAGTTAAACTTTTGAATGAAATATTCAATGCTATTTGAGAGGTATGTACCAACTTCATGTGCTTCAATTTTTTGGCAAAACCTGTTTGTCTCCTAGTTCATCATCCAAGCTGTCACAAGTTACACAACATCTGAAATTACTCTGAAAATAACTTGAATATGGGTAATGTGAAGTCCCAAGAAGTTAAGCTAGATAGTTACCAATAGTGCTTATTTTTGTGTGGAGCATGAATGTGCCTTGTATTTGTTTTTATGGTACTATGATTTTGGTAAAATTTGATAGTAAACAGGGCATCAGATGGTAATTTACAAAGCGTTTCTCGAAGATAATATTTTCCATTGCGCTCATAAGATACCTTTCATATTTGCATGAGCATGCCCATTACTTATTTCTAATTATTGGTAGTTAACTATTAATAGATGTATGCCAAATGATTGATATAAAGATGCATTTAATTTGTAAAGCTATTTTTATTGTTATTTCCAGAACAGTTTTCACTTATTTTAGCAGTGCCTTTACTGACTGTTTCCGTAAACCTATATTTAGGTACTTCCAAGCTACAAACCTGTTACATTTGATAGCTCATTTAGGTTGAAGTAAAAAAGTTCAAAATTCTTCATCGCCTTCCATTCACACAGGATACCTATCAATCTATTTTTGTCAGCAGAATTTTCAGATGATATATTCATCACATTCCTCTAAGTTATGGTGCACTATGTTGCAATTTTCTTAGATGGCATTCAGTGCTTGGTTGGTTGTTGGATTCTTACCTACATAAAAGTTCGTGTCTCATTGGGCTCACTTCATGGGCCCAGCTTGCCTAATGCCTAGTACCTCCTCACAAGGCTAAAAACGAAAGTTGCGGCCACTAAAAAAAAGGTCATGGGAAATGGAGGAGACCCATTTCAACATCAATGCCTCACCTTAGCTTGAATTGTGAATTGAAGTCATCTATGATCTCACTGTCATAAAGCAATGTTGGAAATGTACAAATGCCTCCTGTTTTGATCAAACATGCCCAAACTGCAAGGAAGGTATTTCCAGAATCATGACATAGTTACCTGTATGCAGTAGACACTGGATGTAGCTGATGGCTGGTGGTCATTAGAAATGTCGTGCCAGGTCATAAAAAAATCACTAGCAGTCGGTAACAATAACTTTTATAGAGGCATGGTAGAGCAATGAAGCACATGTAATAGGTATGTTCCTGCAAAACAGTCTAGGTATATTCACAGTTCTCGCCCCTTTTGGGCCTGTTGACCTAGGTGAAACCTAAGGCCATGTCAGTGAACACTGAACAAGCTTTCAAAGAGCTATCGAATGCGTTTTTTTACGACGATGTAGCTCTTTTGCTTCACAAGTAATGCGTCTCGCTGTTTTGTAAAAAATGTCATCCGGAAAGGTACACGATAAAATATTTATTATCCTTGATGACCTCCAGGGACCTCAGCGTTGACCTGGAACTCAGTTAAGTCGACTTCGGCGAAAAAGAAACCTCCATGCTTCTGAAAGTACTTATTTAGAGCTATCGGTATCTTATTGCAGCTTCTTTGATCTTTCTTAGTATTTTAGATCATCGCATGCGGCCGGACAGCCCCCCCCCCCCCCCACCGTCCCAACATGTCGAAGGTGGCTGATACCCACACCTGGGTGCTGGTTACGATACAAACAATATGGAAGAAAAATAGATTTCTCAATTCTCATCCTCAGAAATATATTTATCCAAGTCATCTATGTCTCACTCATATGGTTCAGTCTTGATGCTCCATTGATACATGTTGGAATTCTAAGCTGTCACCTGTTTCTAACAGCGGTCACGTCTCTCTGTGTGTGTGCGGCAGTGGAGCTGTCTGGCCAGGGATGGTGGTAGGCAGGGTGGAGCGGCGGCACGCGACAGGCGGCGGCGGCAAGACCCTGTCGCCGCAGGAGCTGTCGGACTGCGATGACATCGCCACGGCGCTCACCATCGACCCCTACCTGGGCTTCACCACGCACAAAATGAACATCAGGTGAGTGAGACCACCTGCTGCGTAATATTGATCTTTTCTGTAGAAAAAAATAAACTATTTTTTTGAAATCTGGCATATTCCAGCATTATAATTTTGCGAGACAGACTTTGTGAAGAATAAAGGTTCTGGATTGATAAAACCCATTTCAAAACATCGAACAATATCAAAATAGAATTGTGGTTTACCCTGGCCTGAGGATTTAGCTGAGAGCAGCTTTACTAGCGATGTTTCTGGCCGGCGTTTGCAGGTACAGACCACCGCGATGCAACAAGGACGTGCTGCGAAACCTCATCTTCGCGTTCATCAAGGACCAGAACTATGAGGAGACCTACAAGCGGCTGGAGAGGTGCGAGGCCATGCACCAGCTGCTGGCCTTCTATAAGCACCGAGTGAACCGGGATGATCTGCGGGACCATGTGAGTTCAAACTGGTGCTGACAGAATGCGGGACGGAACGAGAGTCAATAGTCAAGGATGGCATCGCAATGATCCTATTTTTACAATATGATAATGCCAGCGCTTGGGAATAAGTCAACCATTTTGTGGTTACCCCTCGTCCCCATTGCACCTCGGCTGTGTCAACAAATATCAATGCGTATAGAAGATTCTGTTGCCGCCTTCCGTCTCACTTACTGACGCTATGCTCCCAGCCCGCTGCCTGTCGCCGGTATGAACCCCTCCCCCGGCCCTCCCGCTGTCTGTCGCCGGTATGAACCCCTCCCCCGGCCCTCCCGCTGTCTGTCGCTGGTGTGAACCCCTCCCCCGGCCCTCCCGCTGCCTGTCGCTAGTGTAAACCTCTCACGGCCCTCCCACTGACTGTCGCTGTTCCGTTGCAGATAATGCGGTTTCTCGGCGTGCTGGACGTGGAGTCGGGCATTTCCATCATGGGCTGCACTCGGTACTCGCTGGAAGACAACGCAGGCGCCCGGGTCTGCTCCACCAAGGCCTGGTGAGTTGTCGAGCGGTGCTGGCGCGCACTGACACTGCTCAGTGACGGCAGGCACTGAGTATACTGCTGGTGTAGATCCTCGAACGGTCACCACATACAATTCAATAATCGAACACCCGAAACTTGGCCAACTAATCGGAGACTGTGGATGTGCATTTTTTAACGACGGACATTCTGCAACTCTATTAATGTTTTTTTTTTTTTGCCTACTGAATTTACTCGTAGTAAGGTAACGAAAGTGTTTTTTTTTTTGCGATTGGTGTTCAATTACATAAGCATAAGGAAAATGCACAAGCCCCAACAAACAATAACTCACTAGCGCGTGAGATCTGTTGCCATGCGCAATGAGGTTGGCGTGAGCTTACCTTTTCGTGATGCTACATGTGGTTTCTGGGTCGGGTACGGAGTATGGGCTTGTGGGATGTCGTGCCGACAGATCCATCCGCCTGGAAATTCCTCGTCCCGGCCCGACTGAGCGCAGATAAGGAACTGGTTCCATAGACGTGTGCGGCGTGCATCCTTCACCGATCCTTATTGCGGTGAACTGCGGCTAATCGAACTCATCGCCACCGAGATAAGTTGTCCAGTTCTTCCTTATGCTTCTTCCTTATTGGTGACACTAAGGACGTACAGATCGTCATCATCTACCATACTATTTTAAAGCTGGCATTTTTAATCGAACTCATTAAGTTGATTCTAGTCTCTCGTCCACCACTCCCTTTTTCCACGGCTCACGCATACTGATGCTGCGATCATTTCAGGGGCCGAAATGAGGAGATCCAGTTTCTGGTCGGCTGTATCGCCGAACTTTCAGAGGAGGAGGAGAACCAATTTCTCCACCCGGGCAAGAACGATTTCAGCGTCATGTATAGCACAAGGAAGAAGTGTGGTCAGCTTTGGCTCGGTCCTGCTGCCTACATCAACCACGACTGCAACGCCAACTGCACGGTATGGCTCCCCTGGGTGATTTCTGCGGTCGAGATAGCCGCATTCAGTGCACCAATATGATTCATAGATGGCTTGCTCATTTTGGCCTGTCATCTCTTAATGTAGGGGGCTGTAGTTCAAGTGTTTGAGCGGGCTTGCTTAGATCCCTAATGACTTATAGTTTGCTGAGAGCGGTTAAGTAAGTGTAACAGATAAGAATATGTATCACTGTGGGATTGTAACGCCGTGTGTGTGTGTGTGTGTGTGTGTGTGTGTGTGTATAGTGCCTCTCCCATCCTCTCAGTCGTGTGCGCCCCTGATTATTCATGTTATGTGATGATTTGAAGGAGCACCTGTATAGTATAATCTTATTACGGCGACTCAATCAGTGTGATACCACCCCGGCGTGTGATGTGTGGATGTGTTGTGTCACATTGTTCAGGTCACAGTGTGAGAAACGCCTTTCCGGTGGGTGATGACGTTTAGCTATGTTTTGCCGCTGAGTGACGGTGACGCCGCATGTAACGTCACCGTTCTGTGCGTGTGTCAGTTCTTGCAGTGAGATATAATTGTTAAGCCGGCCTTATTGTGCCACTATGTGACGATGACCTTATGTGTGTGACCGGTCCCTCTCTTTATGCGCCAGTTCGTGGCAACCGGTCGCAATACGGCCACGGTACGCACGCTGCGTGAGATTGAGCCGGGAGACGAGGTCACCTGTAACTACGGCGGAGACTTCTTCGGCGACAACAACTGCTACTGCGAGTGCGAGACCTGCGAGAGGTGAGCCCAGACGCGCCGGGGAGGGATTGGACGGGATGGGTGAGCTCTGTGGCAGGTAAAATGACAGCATCATACCTGACACTGTTGTGATAGTGACGGCTAACCTCTGTGTTAAATGTAGCTAAATGATCTGTTTGCTTTGTCGATGATGATTTTCCCCGTCGCTCGGCAGGCGGCAGACGGGAGCGTTCGCCAAGAAGGACTCTGATCAGCAGTCGGAGGGGTACCAGCTGCGCTACTCGAGTCGGCGACAGGCGGCGCCCCCGACGGGTACCAACACGCTGGAGCACACGGTCGAGACGCTCCGGCAGCGCGGCATGACCCGCTACGACGCCCAGATCATCGCCGAACAGCGCCTCAAGCTCGACTCGCCGGCGCCGGCCGCTGCCGTGACTGCGGCCAGTCGGCCGGCGGCGGCGACGGCCCTGACGACGGCGACGACCGGTGCTGCTCCGGGCCGGGCTGCCGGTACCGCTCCAGGGAAGGCCGCCGGCACCACCCCGGTCGGAGGCCGCACCCGCGCCCGGCGCCGGCTCGGTGCCTCTCAGACGTCCACTGCCACTGCCGCGGGCCGGCGGCGCGGCTCGGCCACTCCGGTCGAGACGGCCGCCGCGCCCGTTTTACCACCGCCCCCGCCCCCGCCCCCTCCGCCGCCCCCACCGCCCCCGCCTCCACCGCCGCCAGCAGCGCCCCGTCGCGGCCGCGCGGCGGCGGGGGCGCTGACGTTGCCCGTGTCCCCGCCGTGCCACGTGAAGGTGACGCTGCGCATGAAGCGCTCGCCGCCGGCGGACGACATCAGTGAGTCGGCCAGCAGCCACTTCAGTGACGACAGCGCCACTAGCGGCGAGATTCAGTACGAGGTGCTGCGGCTGGAGGGCATCGGCGAGCTGCCCGTCGCCACGTGGCACAAAAAGAAAAAGAAGAAGCGCCACCGCCACGAGCGGCACCGCGGTGTGACGCCCGAGGTGGCCGTGCCGTCGGCAAAACGTGTACGGCTCAAGTTCGGCGGCGAGTCGCGGACCATCGAGCTGACGGGGTGAGACGGCCGTCCGTCCCGCCCCGCCCGCTCGTGTCTTTCACGGCCGTCAGCGCACGAGCCGCACCGGCCCATTCCATAGGCCGAGTACAACGTTGTTATACCTCTCCACCGGCCCACGTGCGCGCGTGTGTGCGAGTATATTTTACCATAGCTATATGATTATCTGATCCGGGCACTGCCATGATCAAAGTTGTGTGTACGTATCTACTGTCTTTGGTGCGGTTGTTTTTTGTAGATTTTCCTCAGTCCGATGACGCATTTAACTTATGTGGAATGAGGTGGCATGAATTCTTTTGATCTCATTGTTCTGAGCACGCTTGTGTTCTTTTTTATGACCGATGATTGGCCTTCCTTTGGGCTAGGCTGCGCGGTAGCTCGAACGGAGATTCGTCCCGAATGACCTCGAAGCTGTATTGTAATAAACGCATGCATTTGTTTTGCCCTGTGTTTCTGGTCCGGCAGGCAATGACCACCGTCCACTGTTCTGTTCTGGACCCACTACCGGGTATTGTTAGGTCGGTTTGGGCTACGCTGTTCTGCTGCTGCCGCTGATTCACCCCGGCCAGAGCAGCTAACTTTTTTGGTCCGGGCCAAGGCCATCTATAGAAGGTACAGTCACTCCCCCGCCGACCAATCAGAGACAGATCCTGAGTGACGTCATCCCTGATGCTCGCAAGGGGTACTCCATTCCTTTACAACGTAAAAATGACTAACTTCATTTGAAGATTATTGATGGCACTCTACACATACCGCTCAACCGTTGATGTCAATGGAAAGCCCAACCAATTTTCCAGCGACAAAAAAGAGTAGCAATATGCTAAGAAATGGCCGGTTTTTAACCGGGCCGGCCCGGCCGATGTCCGACTGCCAGCAGCAATTTTAGGGCTCGGTCAGTAGCAGATTCGCGAATATCAATTTGCTGCTAGGAGTTTCGGTGACGCAGCACCCATCTTGACGTCACAATAGTGATGAGTAGTTCCTTGAGCAGTTCTGTGTTATGATTGGTTAGCTGTCTGTGTCTGATATCACACCATGCTCATAGCAACCAATCAAAATCCGAGTTTCTGCATCAGAAGACCGGCGATAAGGATGTCTTGCTGTGAAAACAATAGTCTAAATGAGATCTTTTGACGTCATTACACACAGGACGCTGATTGGTCTCACTATCAATGATAGCTAAAAAACTGCATTTTATTTTATTTGGACGTTTTTTTTTTTAAACACTTGCTTACTGCACTGACATTCCATAAATGTATTTTTTGGTCTTGTGAACATAATGCACAACTCGTTGTCCAGACGTAAATATGCAATGCACCTAGGGTTTTCGTATGGTTTCAACATGGAGGAGAGTATTCTCTCCTCCATGGTTTCAGTGTAGTTCTCAGGTTTGTCTTTGAATTTATGACGTCAAAAGGGAGAAGTTCTATCGATTCAGCTGCTCATCACGCTGACCTTGCTCTACTTCGAAACTCATTTTAGAAATTGAGTGATGTGTGCGATGTGTGGTTGTGCGTGGGCGGGGTGGGTCGCGGTGTTTGAGTGAGTTTTTAATGAATTTGTGATCTAGGGAACTTAAAGTAGAGCTCATGAGTTGTATATGAGCTGTCAAGTTTCGGTTGAAGAAGAAAAACGGTGAAAATCCACAGGCATGCCGCAACCGCAAGCCGTAAGCCAGAATGGCGCTAGCCACCCCATCAGACAAGGCTATTTTCAAATTAATTCTGTACGACATAAAGTTTCAATCGGCGAAAACTATGTGGCATGGGAACCAGAAGGAGCGCCTGATCGTAAGTATGTATGGTTTGAATGCTGCTTTGAAGATACAGCTTAAAATTATGACTGCCATTGATGACGACAGTATCTTGATCTTCATTATCATTATGACAATTGGAAGCCTGTTGTCACAGTTATGTGATATAACATCAGCGACAACGTTATACCCATATGACTAGAGAAAATGCTGTCCCTGGCTAGATTTAGTAGGTAAAGCTAATCCAAATACCAGTATAACGCCTTTTGGGACGACCAACGGAGTGAGCGAGAGGGTGGGCCTTGCACGTGTGAAATTTTGAGGGGGTACCTCCAACTGACTTCAGTGCATGGCACCTTACTAGCCAATCTCTAGCGATGTGCCAAATTTGAGCACAATCGGCCCAGCCGTTCTCAAGATCTGGAAGCGGCACCCTGCACCTGCGCACATGCAAAATGGGTCCCAACTGACTTGTGCACAGCACCCTGCTAACTGCTCCGTAACCGTGTACCAAATTTGAGCGCAATCAGTCCAGCTGTTCTCAAGATCTGGAATCGACCCCTGCACGTGCGCATGTGCAGCAGCACCCCAACTCTGGCACATGGATATGCATTGCGTAGTGGGTGCCTACCTACATGCCAACTTTCAGCGCAATCGGCCCAGTAGTTACCGAGATATTGCAACTATTACAAAAGTGACACCTCTTCGTTTTGCAAGTGGCATGTGCATAAGGGGTCACCCACATGCAATGAGAATAGTCCAATACTTGGTAGAAGGAATGAAGCTACCCTACAAAAATTACTGCATGTAAATCGGTCAAGTGGTTGCTGAGATATAAGTGTCGCAAAATCGTGACCACGGCCGGCCGGCCGCTCATACTCAGAAATTTCCGTTAATCTAAGGAAAGACTCCGCTCGCTTCGCTCGCTCCGTTATCAACTCAAGGACATGCCTGCCAATTTGACAGGGCTGAAAGCTATCACCTTTGTTGCAGTGCGGCACTCTGTGCGGCTGTGTGATGTGGTGGCAGTGAGCCGGCCTGCTGGTGGTGGCCCACGTGGCTCATCAGTGTACCAGGTGCCTGTGGCCCCTCCGGACTGCTCCCTGCCTGCTCCAAACACCTGCGGAAAGGCCTTCGCTGTCCACTACGCTGAGCGAGTTGGTCGCCGCTGGAAGCTGCGTGTTCAACACTTCCACCAGAAAAATGTTGCTCTGCTGCAGCCTTGGGTGGATCAGCTGCAGAGCCTGTTGAATGGTGAGTTTTGCACCAAATGCAGAAATATTGACGGGATGGGGCGAGTGCTCAGCCCTCATCTGCGACCAGCTCTAATGCCATTATTTATCTTTTATGGTATAAGATGGGGTAGTAGTTGTGCATGGGTTCATGCTACCTATCCTCATCAGCAGACACATTATTTGGAGAACCTTTGTTGAGGTACCAATGCTGAAACTTTACTCAGAAAGTGGTAGTAAAAACACTTATCAACTAAAACTTGTTAAATATACCACCTTGTTCAGGGAGCTACAAGGCACACCTTAAATGTTGTAATTGAAATTGTAAGAGTGAAACAGCTACCAGAAAGTGTTATCCCGAGCTACTGATATGATATTTGCCTTATTGTGTGGATGATGCAGTCGCTTGCACTCATTAAAGATAAGGTGACATTTGGCGGACGATGGCAGGGGAACCAAGTATATTCTAATCAGTAACTTAACTCCGGAGTGATTCTCGATTCTAACCTTTGCCAATATGCGGATAACAGTTAGCTTTGCATGCTATCTTCTGGCATTATCCCCAGTACCGTAAATTGTCCCCGAGCCGCTCTAACAACTGTCTGTATGCTGGGGCGAGTACCGATGCCTGTTGACTGGTCGAGTGTGTCGTCGGGGCGGACTAACTGGCTCAGCAGCGGGGGTTAACGGCCGGGTGTTCGTGCTGCATGTCTGGCCACTCTCTCCGTGTGTCCGGTACTGCAGGTGAACAGAGACCCCGCCGGCTGCTGGTCATCATTAACCCCACCTGCGGCAGCCGAAAGGCGCCCAACATTTACACGAAGAAGGTCCAGCCCATTTTCACGCTGGCTGGTGTGCAGGTGAAGTACCTAATAATTATAGTGTTTTGCATGTTTGTCTTTTTGTTGCACCTGCCTAGTGCCTCTGGCTTAGCGATTTTCGTTTCGCAATAAGCAATTCTCATTTGTCAATAGCTTTTCTGCTTTTCCTGTGCTACACCTCGCAACTTTTGACCATTACGTGATAGAGCTATTATTGCTGACATGGCTACTTTCTTGTCGTTATTAGGGAAACAGCAAACAGCACCACCCGCGGTCACACATTGACATGACGCGATGCGGCCTTCACAAACGGTCACTAGAAACATAGAGTTACAACAACGGGGCATTAGTGTTCAGGATATCCGCTGCTCCTATTGCCCCGGTAGACAATTGGACGAAAGGACCCCCCAGATTATGAAATACAGTAGCATGGGAATGCCATGTAGGTGGACGTGTAGGTAATTCGTAGCACGTCCTATACATAATATATTACTCGTTCACCTTGGAATGCTCTCTCACGACTGCCATAATATGCACAATGCGCATGTGTGAGGGCGGAAGCATGCGGTACCTTATAGAATATGCCTTTAATGCACGCAGTCGGATAGATTAACTTAGCCACATATTGTGTGGTTGTAGACATAGACTCGATAGTGCCGCGGTAGTGCCGTTAAATGTTACATTTATTTGCATTTGTTGCTTCTTTGGTCTTCGATAGAATGATAATCTCCTAAGCTTAAGTTGTATAATGGTTTGGGTAGCCAATCGACTACTCTAGCAATTCACCGGTGTTGTGCTTGTGCGTGTGTGCCTATGTGCAGTATCCATGTCGCGCTGTGTGCTGTTGTGCTCTGTTTATCGTTCACGATAATTCATAAAGACATGACATTTAGTAGTTTTTGACATTGTAGTTTTCTGTTCTGACGCCACTGTCCGTCTTTGTGCAGTATCCGTATCGTATCGTAGGTATATACTCCTGCACTATTGTGCCGCCGTGTTTACGTGCGCCGGACATAATGTGTTGTGTAGGCCTTCATTTTCGTCATTAGTTGTGCTATGTCGGCTGGGTCGATTGTCGGCGTGGCTCCTGCTGCCGACTAGCCCTGCAGTGGCCCCGGCTCAGCTGCTACGGCCGGGCCTGCCCGCTTGGGGAGGGGATGATTAGGGGGAAGCACAGTAGCGATGTGGTACCGTTCAGAGTCGGCAGAACCACGAGAAATCACACAGCTGGGCTCATTTGTAATTGTATATCTGGAATCGTTTGAACTTATCTAACCGTTGCACCATGCGCCGAGGAGTCTGACAGCTGTACCGCGTGCCAGCTGAACCTGACCGCCGTACCGTGCGCAGACGGAGGTGATCCAGACCACGCACGCCGGCCACGCGCTGGCGGTGCTGCGCCGGTGCTCGCTGCACGGCCAGGACGGCGTGGTAGTGGTAGGCGGGGACGGCACACTGATGGAGGCGCTCAACGGCCTGCTGACGCGCCCCTCGCCCGACGGGGCGGACCGACCGCCCTGCGCGCCACTGCCCATCGGCGTCATACCCGGTCAGTGGGGCGGGGACCGGGCGGGACGGGTACAGCGGCAGGGGGGGAGGGGGGAGGTGACGCGACTCATCGCGTGCGCCAGTTCGATGGCTAAAACAATCGGCAGATATCAAGCCATCGCTCATGAGATCAGCAGCAAAAGCTTGACTATGTCAAGGACTATGTACTAGAAAATTTTGTTTGTGCGTGTTCCATTTCATTTTATACCTATGCAATATTATCAAGGGTAGTTGTTCCGAATAGGTGTCATAGTTCACAGTGTCAATTGCCTACTGGTGTGATGTGTTTCGAACCTCTGTCGTCATCGGAAAACTTCCAGTGCAACTGACGTGTCTTTCCTTCCCCTATGCAGCGGGTAGTACGGATGCCGTCTGTGGCAGCGTGGGGACAGCCGATCCGGTTACAGCCGCCCTGCTCATCGTCATGGGTAAGTACCGAACCGAGCAGGTTGAAAAGGTGCCCCAGGAAGTTGTCCGGTCTGGCCACCTTCCAACACCGCTCGCCCTACCACCGTGCTGCACGTGTGTGCAATAGGGTGCCTGCATTGTTCCGTGCTAACCGGAAATGCGATGGGGCTGTGATACTTTGAGCTACACGGGCTATTTCGGTGTCAGTCAAGGACCACCGTACTGTCCTGGGCTTTCAGCGGATGGTGAATCAGCACCTGCACCAGCCCTTATCGCCTCTGATAGGAGGGCGCGGGCGGCACCGTCCCGCTATCGCGTGCCTCCCATATCCAGCACACCGGATTTCTGACGCCGCCCGGCCGGATGGACGGCGCTTGTGTACCGCGGGAAACCGTTAGGGTGAAGTCGTATAAGAGTACGCACTTAGTGGATTTCTTGATTTCATTTGTTTAATATTTGAAGGAAAGAAATCGCAAATAGGGAATATTAAAGTTCATTGAATTAGCCATCAACCCATGGGGCAACAATCCTTCAGCGTAAATGGAAGTGGTCTAAAACTGACATTTTCTGAACCGTTGCACTTGCGTACTCTTACCATATGGGGTGTGTAAGAGTACGCACGCCAGGCGGGTGGAGTACGCAAGCATATGAAAACACACCTATGCAGCTTGCACTGTCCAAATGCTTAACTTCAAACTCAGAAGGCATTTAAGTTAATTCTAGTATCCAAAAAGAAAAACATAAAATAAATCTTTCAAGTCTATAAATAATCAGAAGGAAATAATCATGTCGAGTGTTTCTTAAAAAAAAAAAAAATGCACAATCAAAAAGGAGAATAGCTCGTATTTGGAAGAATTTCGGGTACGCATCTGCATCACAGTGCTCCATTGATGATATACCTACAAAACAAACGTCATTGAGCGATAGATTAATAATTCTATATTTCTGTATATTCGATTTAATGTATAATTCTGCGTACTCTTACCCTCCTGAACAGTGCGTCCTCTTACCGTACATCAATTCGCGCACAAAACAACCCCGAAACGTTGTGCAAAACTTCGCAAACAGAATATTGCACTGTACAGTATTTTCCCAGATACCCTCACAAGTTTCCCACCACAACAATCACGGAAATGTACCTTATCTCAACTGCCAAGTATCAAAATTATTGTACCATATCATAATAATATCATAACGCTCGAAAATAATATTCATCGCCTTAAACTCAACAGCGTCGCCGCTCAACGCCCACGTTCCGTTGGTGACATGCACGCACTGGCGGCTTCATGTCACTTCATGAACTCGACAAACCCGCGTTGCTAAGCAACCGAAACAGCTGATGCGTACTCTTATCGCCCGCGTACTCTTACCCGCCCTTACCCTATTAATTGTCGTCAAGTTTGAACCATCACAATAGGCATCACTCGTCGCGGAAAAACACGGACAAGAGGCTCTAGTAATGACAGGACTCATGAGATCGCTTTGGAGCTTCAGACTTATTTTTTGACCCGTATGCAAACTCTGCTTGCGGGATTCCACCTAAACGTTACATTGCACTTAGCCTAACACCAAAACGGGATTCGGAAGAGAAAGTGAAAGTGATCCTACACCGCCGGCGTTTGCGACGGCCGCGCTGTGTGCAAACATCGGGCCGGAAATGCCGGGGCGCTGAGCCGTGCAGCGGGCGCCGCGGCGCCAGCCCCGTCCCCGGCGGGCAGACTGTCTGGCCTGTCCGCCCGAGACTGTCTGTCTGCAGACTGTCTGGCCTGTCCGCCCGCCACTCTGGGAAGCTGTCCGGTCCGTCTGTCCGCCTCGCGGGCAGACTGTCTGGCCTGTCCGCCCGCCCCGCGGGCAGACTGTCCAGTGTCCGGCCTGTCCGTCCGCCAATCTGGGAAGCTATCCGGTCCGTCCGCCCGCCCGCCGGCCGGCTGATTTGTCGGTCGGAGCGGCAGGTGGCCTCCATCGCTATGCGCTGATTATAAGCGGGACCAGATGGCCAACGGGCCAGCGCCGACACCTGGTTAGGTGACCAACTGACGGACCCAGATGGGGACATGTATTAGACCTAGATAGGCCCTGTATTGGACCCGAATTAACGATTTGTAGAACCCATAGGTATGGACCCGAATCGGGCCCGAGTGGCACCCTGTATTGATTTCGGGAAGCCTCCGGTAGAGGATCCAACTGGCGTACCCAACTGTCTGTGCCAACGTGCGCCCCAGTTTTTTTTTTCAAGCAGCCTTACTATGATTTAGCATTTTCTACATCATAATTCTCACTGTATAACCACCGTGCCGGTTTCTTCACTGCTGGGCTGGAGCGAGCCGTTGCTCAAAGCTGCTCTGCTCGCCGGTCGCCTCTCTCGCCAACTCTGACCTTCACCCACTCAGCCCCGTGGGCACGCATCACTGGCTGGGGCTGGCGGCCGGGCGCTTACATTTCCACTAAGCGTTTCTATGTATACCTAAATCCATTCCGTATGACCAAGTTGAAGTAATAACGTAGGATTTGGCGTTAAACCATATGACATCCGACTTTTGACACTCTGGGTGGCACTCGGCAACAGTAACTCGTTTGTTGCAGCGCGTTAACGTCTCGTAATCTCATAAGTCAGGTTTCCACATCCCGCTTACACGTATTCAGCTGCCGGGCGGATCATGATCGGCGCCGCGTGAGAGACTCCTTCGTAACAGAGATCGTGCCTAACTAGCCGCACTGCCGCTCCTCCCCTCTGCCGCTCCTCCTCTGCCCTCCTCTCGCTCTCTCCTCTGCCCCACTCTGCTACGGCCCATTCAATACCCGGCTAATCAGAGGAGAGCCGCCCCGAGAGCGGCCCGTCGGGCGGCGCCGGCTGGCTTACACGGCAGGGGGGGGGGGGGCGAGGGGGCGCCCAGGCCGACAGCCGCCCGGGACTGATAACTTGAGTCTATATCAATTCGATGATTAATGAGATGACTGCATTATGCACATCATAATTGTAGTTGTCAATGCCACTTCGCGATTAGCATAAAGTGAATCACTGGATTCACCCGACCTCCGCTTGGTTGGAAATTTTACGGATGCTATTTTGCCGCAAGTAATGAACATCCGCAAAGTATAATTATATTGCCAGAAGTAAATATGTAATGTGGATGGTTTCACTTGTTTCAAAGCCGAGTTTGTGTAGTTGCCAGTCGTTTTATGGGCCGGAGGGGGGGGAGGGGGCACTGCGACTAGCGCTAGAAGCCGACCTGTGCGGACTCCTTCCCAGCCCGCGCTCCTTACCAGCCCTCGCTCCGCCGCGTCGCGCCGCCGCCGATCCGACGGCCGTTGCCCGGATACGCGGTAGCAACAGGCCGGTAACGACGGCTGGGCCGCAGCCGGGTCACGGCTCGCCGCACTGGGGTCAGGGGAGGAGGAGGGGGGGGGTCGTGTGGTCCGACCGTGACGTCACACGGCCGTGGTTCTGTGTGAAGGCCGCTAAAGCCCACACCACACTGCACGCTTCAACTGCCTAGGCGGTGATAACGAGGGTTGGTCGCTGCACAGAGGACATTATTTTTGTTCTGTTAGGATGGCTGAGTGTTGAAATTTCTACCACGCGAGTGTTGCGAAAACTGCAAAGCATAGCTAGAAATAGATGCCTAATTGCAGAAGTTTTAGGCAGATCGCAAGATCTTCATGACTGCTCTTCTGCTTATAAGAACACTTTTCAATCATTGAATTTCCCATCCCACATTCCACGTTTCGTATCCCATAGGAATGGTCTGTCGGAAAATGTCTTGTCAGTGTCGGCATCAATGAATAGTTGACGATGCGCTATGTCGGACACGCCGTCCAGCATTGTAGAGACGAGCAATGTGTAGGACGCTCCGTCACACCGTCCCGTTTGGTTGCCCGGCGACTGTCATAACGATGGCTCCCAATATGGTTGATGAGGGGGCGGGTGGGCTGGCTAATGCATACCTATCGAGGTTTCGGGCTGACATAGCGAGCTGGGCCATTGGCGACCGATGTATACCCCGTGACCTGAGACGTGACCCGCTGTATCTTGTGTAGCATACATGTGTATTGTGTAACCGGTGACACGTTTATGACCGGTGACCTGGTGAACAGGTGTGACCCTTTGTGGTGACCCTTGACCCCAGATGTAACCTCCATGTGCCATATTGTTTAGTTGTGACCCCTGTGACCTTTTGTGACCTGTGTCCTGTTGCGCAGGAATGACCCGCTGTGACCTATGCCCTGTTCCGCAGGTGTGACCCGCTGGGTGAACGCAAGCCGTCTGCTGTGACCCACTGTGACCTATGCCCTGTCCCACAGGTGTGACCCGCTGGGTGAACGTGTGTATTTAGTCCGCTGTGACCTATTCCCTGCCCCGGAGGTGTGGCCCGCTGTGACCCCTGTGACCTGCCCCAAAGGTGTGACCCGCTGTGACCTATGCCCTGTCCCACAGACCTGTGACCCGCTGGGTGGACGTGTGCTGTGACCCGTTGTGACCTATGCCCTGCCCCGCAGGTGTGACCCGCTGTGTGGACGTGTGCAGTCCGTTGTGACCCGCTGTGACCCCTGTGCCCTGTTCCCCATGTGTGACCCGCTCTGACCTATACCCTGTACCCCAGGTGTGACCCGCTGGGTGGACTGTGTTGTGACCCGCTGTGACCTATGCCCTGCCCCACAGGTGTGACCCGCTGGGTGGACGTGTGCAGTCTGCGCACCGCCGGTCAGCTGCTGCGATACTCACTCTCTATGATCACGTACGGGTTCTTCGGTGACGTGCTACAGGACAGTGAGAAGCTGCGCTGGCTGGGACCGATGCGCTACAACGTGGCAGGTCAGTGACTGTCAGCGCACTGGGGTCACGCTGACAGAGAGCATGGCGGAGAGGGTGTGGCCAAACTTTGAATAGAGTACTTAACTAGAGAACAGAGGGACGAAGCCATTACCTTAGAGCCGTGTGTGGGCATGGGTCGTGACTCCGGCAGTCTCTGTGCGCCCGCGACCTCGGGTCACAAGTGTCTGGTTCGGGTCTGTATGGGGCGTGAGGGAGTATCATGCCATGTCACGTATATCGGGCCGGCCTCGACAAGTGTGCGATGCTCGTAGGGAGGTCGTTTGTCATTGGTGTGACGTATCTTGAAGTAAACGCTGCAGTTATGCAGTGCACGTAATGGGGGCACGGCTTTCAAGGTCCGAGATGCTGAGTTATCTCGGTTTGCCAAGTGCCGTCCTTTGATCGCTCACATACCAGAATACCTGACTCCTGAGGTTCCAATTCAACTACAGGGTGTCTCAAAAGTTCCTTGACACATTTCCCATGCCAATAAAGCATATAAGAACCGGCCAAAAATCTAAGGTTTTGGTGTCTGTGTGTACACTAGACAAATATGCATGCTTTGACAACTGATTCGGAAGGTTGGAAACCAAACCCTTTGCTGTATATCCAAAAATATTTGCCCATACCTATATTCGTCGCTCCGTCAGCTGCCAGAGGCTGATAAAAGGTTACCAGCTTTCAAGCTCTTGTAGGGGAATCCCCTGCAGTTTCTGCGTCGGATTTAGGTTTGACGAGCTTCCTGGCAACATCCGCTTCTGCCTGAAAGCCGACAGCTTGCATCGACACCATCCGTGAGTATTTTGTAGGTCTTCTCTGGCGCTAACTCCTTCATGAATGACTGGCGCCGACCTCCCAAGCACCATTTTCCTTTTCAAAACAACCCCATTCCTGAACAAATGGGAAGTGTCAGGGGCAATTTTTTTCGCGGCATATCGTAGCGAAATGTGTCGGCCATCTGTTTCTTAGACACATTTTGCAAATTTTGCAAATCCCAAACGCTCGTCATTCCCCATGCCAAGACCTTCGCTGGGTTCCGGAGTGTTTTCCTCAGGAGAGGTTCTGCTTTGTAAACGGCCAAAACATGTCCATCGTGCGGTTTTGTCCGGATTTTGTGTGTAAAAGAAAGCTATTAGCTCCAGATCTGCCTCTTGAAACTTCGTAAGATAAAACTTTACATTAATTGACACTTTTGGAGGGTCACTTGTCCTCGGCATTGACGATTTTCGTGTTATTTTCCAAAAAAAAACGTTTAAGATATTATAAACAATGTTGAATGATACTTTGTCTTTATTTTATGATGACCTGCTATTTTTGAACCTGGGTAACCTCTGTCTGTGAGCTTCTACTCAGTTTTCAATAGTTAGGACTGCATTTTCAGCTGGTTTCCGGTGCACGAGTCTGCTGCCGTAGAAGGGTCGTTCAAAACGCTGTTAGTCTCGCATGGTTTCGTCCTTCAAAAAATTTAGCCACCGTTTTTATTAGATGATCATCATGTTGTACTCATCCTCGCCGACACTTTGCCATGTGTCATTTCCGACCTAACCATTCCCATTACTCCTGAAGCAGGGAGTTTCTCAGCGGACCCGATTTTGCGACCTCCATTTTCATGTCTGATCCATGGTCAGAGTTGGACCCTTTTTGTGAGCTCATGAAGGGTCGAATGCGCTTGAAAACAATGAAACTGCTTGAGGAGGGTTGATACCAATGCCCATGCAAAATTTTAACTGTTACTTTCTTGTTAATTCAGAATTATTGACAAAAAAGCATGGCTGGTACCTGTCAACGAACTTTTGAGACACCCTGTAAGCATATTTTCTTCTTTTTTTGTTCTTCTATCTAGCCTTTGCAGTTAACCGATGAGGACAAAGCTGTGCCCATGTAACAGCTATGTCCTGTTCTAATGCGTGACATACCGACAAACCTTCCCGTTGGTGCCATGTAAGCCGCCCACCAGTGACGCCCAGCGCCCTCTGTCGTTCAGGAGCGGGCCGGTTCTGGCGAAGCCGCGCCTACCGCGGCTCCGTGGCGTTCCGTACGGCTCCGGGCGCCATGGAACCGCACAAACCGTGCTTCGCCGACTGTGACGTCTGTCTGCGGGAGCCGGTGGAAGCCGAGGGAGAAACGCAGGGCCAGAACGACGGTCAGTGCCACCGGAAAGCGCCGGGTCAACACGGGACTCAAGTGTCGTTGTTTATCTTAGTGTCTCAGTTTTTGTTGTCCCACTGCCGTTTTAACAGAATTCTGAATATGTAGATGCTTGCGGCCTTTATCTGATATATTTTCTTTTAAAATGGTAAAATGTTGTTGCATTAACCCTACAAGAAAAGATGTCATTCATTCATGGTACTGGGCCGGTACAAAAAAAGAACTTATCACCCTATGTCAATTCTCTCACACTGCTCCGAATGTGTTCCGACTGCCGGCGTTCCGCCGTCCATTTCCCTTCGCTCACCTCCTGTATCTGTTCTCTAGGCGAGTGGCACCGCGTCAGCGGGCCGTTCCTGGTTGTCAGCAGTGCCAACGTGTCGTGCCGCTGTAAGATCACGCCCGAGGGGATGTGTCCGCGGGCACACCTGTCTGACGGCTGGGCGCACCTGATCCTGGTGCGACAGACTTCCCGCGCCAACTTCCTGCGCTACATGTACCGGTCGGCGGCCGGAAAGGCGCCGGTGAGTACTGCGGGGAGGGGGTGCATGAGCGGGAGTTGTAGGGGAAAAGAGACTTACTAGAGAGGTCTGTAGGATCCGTATGAGAGGGAAGACTGCTCTGACTACATAGAGTTTGCAGTTCTCTCACAACTTAAAAAGTGTAGTGGTCGTAGTCAATATTCATGTGCGCAAAAAAAACGACAATCAACATTTATCTGGTTCGTCACTTCAATGCTCATTCCACTTGAGTATTGGTATTGACCGTGTGATTTTGTCTCTAGCTGTGTGTTTGCGCGCAGTTTGGCCTGCCGTTCGCTGTACGATCCTTGTACTGATCGTGTTATTGAGCCTGTCTCTGTTTGTCTGCGGACAGTTTGACCTGCCGTTCGTCGAGTACTACCGTGTGAAGGAGTTTGAGCTGCTACCGGAGTCTACTGGCGACGACCAGCGACTGCTCGGCGAGGCACACATCAACTTGGCCATGTCGGTGGACTCGACAGCCGCGGGCGGCGAGTGGCGCGCACCAGAGCGCACCACCGCCACTGGCGCCGCGCCGGCCGGCCGACGGCCCCTGGACAGCGTGTGGAACTGTGACGGCGAGGTGGTGGCCGACCCGGCCGTTAACCTCAGGTAAGACCGGACCCGCGACTTAGATACAAGTACCCTTGGCGATGTCAGTTTTGTAACTCTGCTCACATTCGAGAGTATTTGTTGTTGGCCGTTGTTAGATATTAGCAGTGTATCGTACGAATGCACCCGCTTTATTTCCTTTTTCTCCATTGGATTTCACACTTAGTGGGCGTATCGTCCCTCTAACCGTCTTTCCCTCCCCTACAGGGTGCACCCTCGCGCAATACGTCTGTTCGGTCGCGGCGTTGAGCGGCTGGAGGAAGGTAGCGGCTGCTGCGGCTGCGGGCGGCGCACCAAGAAACAAATCTGACTGCCGACCACTGCACAACCTAGGCAGCTCAATGGAGGGAACTCGCTGTGACCGACGCACACTGCACGGGCGCGGCCGGTATAGCGGGGAAATGCTGCTGCGTGGGACGTGAACGAGGCAAGTCCCAGGCATTCACATGTGTCTGGGCTATGACATGGCTGAGGCAGCTGCAAGGCATCTATGTATGTGATGCACGAGTGATAGACTGACGTGTGAAACTGGGACGGCAGTTGTTATTGGTCCGCTGCAGTTGACACACTTATGTCCCTGAGTCGGGGAGGGGCGGCACAACTCTGCCGAGACATAGCTCATTGGATTGCCAACGTTCACTAGCCAAGTGTTAGTTGGGCGGTAGCAGCACCCTTTCCGTGGAGCTAACCGGTGTACCCATGACCCTTTCCCACCTCCGGTTAGCCTTTGAATAGCGTAGGGGATATACCGGCTTTTGAAATATCTCCCTACCGGTCATTGGACCAAGCTGCTGCTGACCGTCGGGCTCAGGTCCCTATCGGACGGTGGAGCCAGCCCTCTACCGCTGCTGTACTCGGCCCGGCGCTGGCCGTCGCCCTCAGCCCCAGTCTTAGGTAAAGGGAGCGTTCGAGTCTGGCTGCTGCCGTGCATTGTGATGGCAGCTTTTCATGGCTCCGTTCGTCGTTTGATAGAGAACGGACAGTGATAGCTACACTGTGGCTGCTCTAGTTAGATAGAATTTCAGGCTCGGGTAACTGCGCTACTTAGGTCTCATTTTTGCTTTACGTTCTCACTTTTTGGCGCTGCTTTGCAGTGGAAGCAAGTTTTGCGGTTTCATAATGACTCACCAGCTCTTTTGCTTCACATTTTTACTCCTTTCTATGGTGGTTGGTCGGGTACGCTGCTCTGTTGCATGCTCACTTCTAATTTTGGCAATATTTTCTACACGGTCAAGGTCATAGGGCATCCTTGGGATGCGTTGGCATTCACTATGATTTCCTGATTTACGGAGATGCTTTTAAAAGAGCTTAATGGACCTGGGAGTATTTTTCCAGGCTCCGGTACCCGACCTTTTAATGGGGCCAACGCTTACAGCTCATGAATACACGAGTGACGCGTTTTCATAAAAGGCAGATCGCCTCTCAATAATTTTGTTTCACGTCGCTCCACCGTTGTGTTCTTCTTGTGTTCAATTGTTTTCTTTTTGTTTTGTTTTCATCGGTGGTTTGGATGACTTTTGTCCGGGGAAAGCGGCGGCATGTCGCCGTTGTCAGCATATCAATGCCGCGTGTTGTCGACTCTGACCGAAACGATTGAGCAGGTCGAATGTAGTTACTCATTCCAACTCATCTGAAATTTTGCTCATACGTGTGAGACCTTCAAAATCATGTGATTTTTCTGCGATTTTCTGATTATTCTGAGATTTTATTTTGCATGCTGTAGGCTGATACTGTTTAGTTCCTATGAATATTTGTGATCGGTTTGGTTGGGCTATGTAACCAGTTGCTTCTTGTAGTGTTCCTATGATTATATCGTGATCGGTTTGGTTGGTGATAGTAGACGGGGGAGGGACTTTGCAGCCCCCTCGACTCGGGTACGGGTGCTCCCGTATGCGGCTCCCTCACTGAAGGAAGACAGGCCCCGGTGGCCACGCTCAGGCGAAGACACTCGCGCCAACCAAAGGACCAGACGAAACCGAGCACGCGCAGCACTGAGACCGACCGGGGACCAGCGGACCGTCGGCGGTCCGCCGGAGACCGCGGCCGGTCCCGGGCTCAGCCGCCGGGCCACGCGGCCGGCGGCCGCTCGGTATGTGGGCCGGCGGAGCCCCCTGTGATCACTGCACCCAAAGGCGGCGGGACGGGTCGCTCGCACTGCTAGGAAATTGAGTGAGCTGCTTAGCCAAATTCACTGTTAGGCCAATTGATGTGTGTTCTGCTAGTCGTTTGCGACTGTGGAGGTCGCTGCGGTGCGCGGTGGACCGGGACCGGCGCTGCGTGGCTGGGCCGCGACCTGTGTGAACAGAATCACGGCGCCTGCCGGACGTACCCGGCACGATAGGCTTTCACTGTCAGTGGTTGTCTGATGAGCTAGATGTCTATTTACTCGATTGATGGAATTACTCTCATATGAAAATCACCTATGAATAATGAATATATATCAGCTATATTCAGCTTGTGTTTTGTTGTTGTGAGACTGGTGACTTACGAGACAAGACGTGATCTTTGACTTCGTCCTCATGCGAGTTTTGTCTATTGGTTCAGCTGGAATTCCGATGAAACCATTTGTGTTCACTGGTCACTGTATTTGCACATTACTTACAGTGTACCTACCTAGTGATTAATAGCTCATCTGACAAAAACTTGTATATATATTCATGTGTATACATATGCGCTAAGTTGTATGTACAGAAGGGTAACTGCTATGATATATGCATCACAAATAACGAAACGAGCGTGTTCGCAAGCGAACCACGCAGAGACCATTCACGGGGATCTTACCACTGAACAGTAACATGAACAAGAATGCTTTCCAAACGCTGGCACACAATAAAAACCACACTAGCGGCTCCACTCAGCGACTGACTGCGGTGATTACGTGGTGGTGGTGCGGCGGCGGCGGCGCGACCCTGTCGGCCGGCCGGCCAGCGCGCTGATATGGGGAACAGCGGCCGCCCCCACCCACACTGACGACGCGAGCGGAGCGGCGCAGACGCAGACCAGACAAGGACAGAGGGAGGGAGACGACAGACAGACAGAGCGACAGACGGCCGGAGAGAGGGAGAGAGAGAGAGACGCCGACGGAGAGCGGCCGTCGGCCGTCGCCGCGCCCGGCCGGTACACCCCAGCACGCGCTTTGGCACGGCTAACTGCCAACTGATTGCGCCGAATGCCGACATCAGGGACCGAGTCACACGCACCAACACTATCCGGCGGCAGCGGCCGCCCAGCACACGCACAACAACTACTCGGTATACGGCGGAGACACGCACACACCGGGCGGGCCGTGCGGCGCGCACCGGCGCCGGCCGGGCCGGACCAGTGTCTGCTGCGGCCCGGCCCGGCCCGCCAGTCGGCCTCACAGCGTGTGCTTTCCTCGGATCGGCCAGCTTGCTGCGCTGATCCCCGAGCCCAGCTCCTGTGGTCTGTGGACAGAGGACACGGTGGGGTGTTAAATACTGGACAGTGGGCACTATGATACAGGTAACTCCGGGAAAGACGGGATGCCAAAGGCTCCTCACTGTACCGGCCCGTACCTGTGACCGACTGTGATGGGCTGTCCTATGGTTGAAGGTTATCATAGGTTGAAGTCCTATGATTAAGGCACTGTGCCCACGTTGCGGCACTCGCTGTAGTTTTGTTACGTTGGTACGTTTGTGTCCATGTGTATGTGGCGCAGAAACATTTTCTTTTTCTTAAACTTAAACTGTTGTACCAGTGCAGTGTCACAACAATTTGGGGGAGGTGTACCGGCCCGTACCTGTGACCGACTGTGATGGGCTGACCGGGATCGCCTGCGGCGCCTGGGGGCGCCGGCCGGGCGGACGGAGGGTCAGTGTGTGCTGTGGACTGGTGGAGTGCGGTGCGCCAATACACAACACACTCACGGTCTTTTGACACAAGACACCGCCAGCAGCGATACCGGTGACACGGAGAGCCTCTCGACAGAGGACACTTGCTCCTTTTGATAGGGACGCCCAATTCCTCTGGAATCAGTACGCCTTCCTAACTTCTAAGCGATCTGATTGTGTAAAGAATGGCACAGCATACGTCCAATGTCCAACATGGCTTTAACTCTGTTATGACTTTACTATTATACTCGTCTCGTATAACCCGCTGGGGGCTTCCCTTCCCCGTTGACTTTTCCCTTGCCCAGTATCGACAACGGAAAATAGGGCATCTGACACATACCACACTGGTCCTCCGGACTGGACTAACACACTGGACACAGGACACTCATTCCTGACACGGGACACCCTCTTCCTCCGCACACAACACGCCTTCCTAACTGCCGAGTGATAAGTTGTGCCTAAAACTGCATACAGTCCGACACCGATACCCTACGGGGCCCCGTCTCTCTGCTTTGGCTACCAATAACCCCCGCCCGGTGTGTGCGTGTCTCCGCCGTATACCGAGTAGTTGTTGTGCGTGTGCTGGGCGGCCGCTGCCGCCGGATAGTGTTGGTGCGTGTGACTCGGTCCCTGATGTCGGCATTCGGCGCAATCAGTTGGCAGTTAGCCGTGGTCGTGCCCCCTACCTTGTAGGGAACTGGGAGAGGTGCCAAGAGATAAGCGCTTGTCGCTTCTGCACCAATCCGTGTGAATGTACGACTGTAAAAATGTTTTTTTTTTATAAATAAAATATGAATCAATCAATCAATCAATCAATCAACGTCTGACCTGCTTTAGTCCTTCTTGTCACCGTCCTCTGGGTCTTTGAGTGTGTGCCACTGGGCGATGGGCCGGCGCGGCGAGGCCAGCATGTCGGACCAGTGGCGCAGCTCGGTGCCGGAGGCGGTACAGCCCAGCACGCACTTTCCGATGGGCTCCGAGGTGCCGATCCGGTCGTAGTCCACCACAGTCACCACCAGCTGCACCTTCTGCTCGGAGCGCGCGGGGTGGCGTGTCAGTAGCGAACGGAACAAACAGGCGACTACAGCAACCACGGGGGGGGGGGCGGGGTGGCGTCAATGTCGAACAAACAGCGACCGCAAGAGCACAGATAAGCGGGCAACCAAAGCACAGACGTACGGTACAGTCACGCCGTGACGCGGCGGGTGGTGCACCAGAACGTCGCGTCAGCAGCGTTGACACGCATTATATTTTGTAAAGTCAATGGTCGCCAGCATGTATAACTGAAGGCCCACACAAAGTGACCTTAAAATTAAGCATGCCTCATCTGCCAATTCAAAACAGACGTTGCCCGCTTGGAATTAGTTTAGTTTATCGCAAGCATTAATGGATCAAGCGTCTTTGATAATTCGTTTACAGCCATTGGATGTGTTCTGCAGCAGTTAAACGTCGCGGGATTACGCAATTACTCCACTGATGAAAGTTGAACCTTACCTGGATCTGCTCAAACGGAACCTCAAATGTGAACGACTCGTTATAATAGGGGTTCAGAGTGCACTTCTTGATGCTGGTCTTCTTCTTCTTCAGCCGCTTGCCGTTTTGCATCAGGGCTATTTTCACGTAAGGATCTGAAACCCCACACAGACCATTGAAAACTCGGTAGCTACCAAATAAAATCCCGAAGTGGCCCCAACTTCATGCTCACGTATATACAATGCCTGAATACATGTATCACCCACACACTTGAAAACGTTAAATGAAACGGCCCTTGAACATTGCAAATAAAACACCCAAAAATATATAATGTGAACGGAATCCCATCACAGCACTGAACACAGGTCACAGCAACACTTGAATTGTCACTTGATTTTTTTTTATAACGAGTGAGCTTATTATATCTTAGGATTACCAGTAGGTTTATGCATGGGTTAGTGACTCAGTGTCTCCATAAATTTACTGAGCACGTTGCGTCTTGCGATTGGTTTCGACGACCTCACTCCAGCTCCAATGTCGGGATAGGCCGACTCGGTACATTCGTCAATGCCCGATCAATGACACGAAAATGTTTGAAATTCGTTGTCCAGAAACCTTAAGCTTCGAAAACGGCGTCAGAATCGTCGTTCTCTGTGTTTTGGAGGCGTCACTGAACGCCTGACGCTTTGGTTCAACTACTTACAATCCTGCCGCTAGATGTCACTAGGCGTTAGCGCCTGAAATGATACTGTCCCGCATGGCACCTTGACTCGGTATAACGGTATGGCGGCCCTATAGCGCTGCTGGATTGCGCTAATGCTCTATCGTTGCATAGTGCAGGACCAGTTTATGTAGTTTATACACGAAAATGCTACGTTTCACTCCCTTCTTCGACATTCACACAACGATTTAGAGAGGACGATTGCCACGGAATTTACATTTGCTTATAGGTATAGTTGGGTTTGTGTGTTGTTGCTGTGTAGCGATATAAACGCACATGCGATGACATTGGAAACCCCGTGTAGCATTTCTTCCGAATTGTTTCGCCATTGCCACCGCCACCATTTCACCAAAGCACAGCACAATTCTTGATTGCCGTGCACCATTGATCATCCTTCAGTTTCGAAGAATAATCGCGCCTCTGCAACCTCATGCGATTCCCGTGCACCCTGTGGAAATCTGACCAGACGATTTAAACCCAAATGGATACCTCAATTTGCTGCTTGGTGATGGTTTCGAAAGTAAACCTTTCATTGAAATAGGGGTTGAGTGTTTTTTGTTTCACCGCCGTCTTCTTTTTCCTTGGTTTACGATTGCCTAAATGCAGCTCTAGTTTTACATATGGATCTGAAAATAAAGTATTGGCGTCCGGTACATATGTAGATATTTGCCGTAACTAATCATACTCAAATTAGCCTATTCCGATACGAAAGTCTCTTACAAGAATGCAACGTTTCACACATCATTTTGTTTTTAAACAAGACATGCACGATACCAGAAGGTCGTGTTAAAAGCGTGTCTCACGCGATTGCTTATTTTGTTTTGTGTGTTATCAGTTATGTGTCGAAAGGCTGCCTGTCACGACCAACACCAAACATTTTGCTATTGAAAAGCTCTTTACAAAATTTGCAGCGACGACACCTTCTCCTATTCCGGTAAACCATATAGCTTTATTTGTTTCGCAGCTGCAGAAATAAACGTACCCGATAGTCCACCGACGTCCATCTTCTTCAGGTTCTTGGCCTCGAGGATGACGACCGTCAGTTTGCCAGCCGTCGGGACGTACCGCAGCGAGAAGCAAATGTCACCCAGCTTGTTTTCCTGTCGGTGTCATAAGTTGGACGGTGTCAGTCCCATCATTAACCTCCAGCGCTTTGGTGGATACAAACACACGCGCACACTCGCAAACACGCACGCAAACACACCCACACGCACGCACGCTCACCTACACGCACACGCATGAGTATTGAGTAGTCCACTTCTAGAGACTGCTGCGGTGCTAGGAATGTAGTGGTAGGTATGCATGTAACTGTGCTATGTGCAATGTGAATGTGTGCTATGCACTGTCGGGTACGGAACATTTGCACTTCATTGTGGAAATATCCCGTTTTTGCTATCGTTTGTCTGAT